TTGAAATTAAAGGTAAGATTGTTACGGAGGGCGGCTTCTCGTGGGATTTTTATTATATTTAAATTTTTAAGAGAGTTATGAGTATTTAAAAATTGTAAATTGTTTGTACAACTTAAAATACTCGTAACTCTCTTCAAAATTAAAATATAATAAAAAGCCCACGAGATGCCGCCCTCCGTAACAATCTTGCCTTTAATTTTTAAGCTAACTGAGCTAAACGTGATCTGCTGAACGTAAAACTTGTAAGACAACACATGCGGGTATAGCGTCCTCTTAAGGAACAATATAATAATCGATATATATTATTATCTTGCCCTGCTACGAGTAATCGAATAATCAAAAAGCGCGCCCTCGATGTTGCCAAATGCTTTCCATACACTCAATGCTTGTCTGGCAGTTTAAGCGGTATATGGCTTTTTCCATACTTTTACATAAACACAGTTTTGCCAATTCAAAAAAATACTGATTAAAAAAAAAAAAAATGATTCAATCCAACGAAATAATACCGATTAACTAAAACTAGATCCCGCTGGAATTGCTATACATTTTTTTGGCAATCGCTATTTTCTTCGATATCACATAAATGTTGTTATTTTAACGTGGGTTGCTTGTAGCCTGCATCACTATTAGCAGCCAAAATAGCAATATCATTAATGTCTCAGGGTAAGCAATAGGGAAAACAGTTTACTGCCCTACTAATTTCACCGATCTTACAAACGCCTCGAGTATCATAATATATGCACTCAGCAGTTTAATAAACCTGGGTTCAGTATCAATATAATATGATACTCAGGTTTTTATCCGAGTTTCTGGCATGGAAAATTCCTTAGATATACAATATACATTATACGTACATAAATAAAATACAATCTCGACAAATTTTGAGTATCATAAAATATGCGAGATGATGAGAACGCACACATAATATAATATAATAAATATTACTCTGATAGTATACAATATGTTGTTGAAGCAGGATAATGAAACGGAAAACCAAACAGAATTTAATATGAAAATGTTCAGAAAAGAATGATAAACTGCAGCAGAGAAAATACAGAAATCCAAGTAACATGACAACGGACAAATTGAAAAGGATGTATGGAATCAGATTAATAGTACAGTGCAGGGAATAAATTGAGAAAGATCACGTAAGTTTTTTTGTCGCGCTAAAATATTTTTGTGTTTAAAAATGCATTCGTTGTATATATATAATATTATATGAATTTATATAAAAAGAAACAAATTGGAATAGATATTTGAAGAGAAAATAGGAACGAGATAATAATATACCATAAAGAGTAAGCATGCACCTATAAGAGGATACAGATAGGACTTGGTACAACTGGTATGCAGTACATTTTTTATACAAACAAACGAATAGAACCCACTATAGAATTTTTTTAATGGAATATCCTCGTGGATTGAAATACATTTTTTGGGAGTCGAGTACTCTATGGTAAAATATTATATTCCAAGTTGAAAATCTACAATTTAATACTGTTTGCAAAGAGTAGAACAATATTATTGTGATATGAAATATATCATCAAATCGAATTTCTTAGGTTATTTATTTTTAACAACGCGTTTTATTATCATAAACTCTAAGCTAAATTAAATATGAAAATAATTGTCATAAAGTGTAAGATTAAATCTCCAGTTTTAAACTCATCAAAATAATTTCAAATGATCTAAACAAATTTCAAGTATAATATTATTATATTCTAAATAACGGTAGGTACAAAGGATCCAATTAAGAAACTTGTGACAAAGTTTTTGGAGTAAGTAGAACTCCTTCAGCTTTTTTATCCAACAAAGATGGTTGCCTTACATAAAAAAAAAAAAATACAAAATGTATCACAATAATACGAACAATATTTTAATAAAATCAATAGATTATTCGGTTCACTCACAAATTAAAAGTAGCATTCGACTGTCAAAAGTTGTGTAAACATCTAGTGTTATTTTTTTAACGAAACGTTTTGCTATTTTGAACTTTGTTGGAAAGAATAAATAACATTTGAAGTTTCATACTTTTTTTTTTTGTTGTAACGAAAGAAAATCTTTTAGAGGTTCAGTATAATACAGTATTTGATTATAATACTCGTACTCTTCACTAATTAAAGTTTTTTTTTCTCGACCAACGAATATTATAATGTATAGAGGTAATTAAAAATAATACGCATTATTAAACATTTGAACCTCTGCGTAAAGAAGCAGATTAAGAAATAAGCTGGAGTACACGCTATGCACCTACCCACACTATAAATCCCTGGTAGCCAGTATACATACGGATACAGTCGTAATAATAATGTGCGTTTTTGCCTCGGCCCACACGTCATTCGACGCAATCGTTTCCGAGAGAAACAACGAAACCATAACGCCGGTACTCACAACTGCGTAATGTACAGTAAATATGCATATGGAAATGGAATATAATGTTGTGGTGGAGGGTGAGCAGCTCGGGAGAGACCTAAAACGTCGACGGGAATGTGGATGAAACATTGATTGACAAAAAAAAAAAAAAAACAATAATGATGATAATAATAATAAATCAAATGCGATTCGAACGTACGCCGGTGAAATCGAAAATGTGTGCAAATACGAGTCGTCGTAAAACCGTGCGTGGTACGTGTCGAAAACAAAACGGTAGAAAATCGCAAAAATCAAAACGCAAAAACAATATACACACAACACGTGTAGGACACTTTCTTTCGGTAGGACGACGACAATGCGCCTTAGTATTCCAGACGTCAAACACTCACGACTTATGACAGCTGACTTCAGAACGTATAGTAAAGACTTTTCGGCGGGTTTTTTCGTCAAACTCGTTCCGTACAATGCACACGAGCTATACCGGGGGTATATGGTATTTGAGTCCGTCGATAGTCGAGAGACGTTTATCGAAAAAATTGTCTTTCTCCTTTTCGGCTGTTAAAATATAAATCAACACACCGCGATAGTTGTTGTCTTAGTGAATTCGGTAACGAAGCGATCCTATGCAAGCTAGGGGCAAATAATATATAAATCGCAATGACTAATAACATAATAATATATATAGTAGACGACTCGACGACAGTCTACTAATGTGCTCGTACGTTGTACGCGGACACGTCATGTATAGTACACGTTTTATAGTGCGCAATAAATATACATAACAATTATAGGGTCCTATAGACTTCGCAGATAAAACCTTAGGTTAGTACCCCTATATTATTATAGTCCACACTCTATAACGTCGTCAATAATGTACCAATCTCAATCGGGAACGAGGCTTGCTTTTGTGGACGGAATTTCGAAAACTAATAATATTGCACAGCAAATATTAGCTGTATTGTAGAATATAATGTTGGACCTAGGTACTTATTGCACTCGGGTCATTTTTACGAATTATAATAAAATTGTTGATAGATTAACATTTATTTGATCACTAACATTTTCAAATCACCATATTCCCTACGTATTAAGTAATTTACAGCAGAAAAGAGGGGGGACGGGGTCATTTGAGTTTTAAAATACGGTTTCTAAGTATATTTGAAAATTCCAAAAATTAGATTTGAAACAATTGCTTTGTATAGAGGAAAACGGAATTGAGCATGCTTTGTAAATCGTCTTGTGTGTAAGCATAGGAACAATGTTCATTACTTTATTAGTATTGCAATTGTTGTGATGCGAAAAAAAACATGCTGTTATTTATTTAATGATGCATCTCATCTATTATTAATGAATTTGTATTTCGAATTGTGAACCCGTGGGCCTTCACACGAACGTGTTCGGCGGGGCCCATTATCTTTCTATCTATTTTTTAATATTCGCTTGATAATTTTTACTGTGTACTTTTTTGAATTCAACGACTTATTTTAATATAATTTCTAGTAATTATTAATAATTACATTTATTATTCAGCCAGTAACTCGCTGTACGTTCAATGCATTTTCAATTTATGTAGCAGTATAGGTACATTTATTTTTCGTGAGCACGTGGAATATTAAAAATGCTCTGTGAGAAATAAGAATTTCACCATAATATATAAATAAAAGGGTAAACATATATTGTATAGACTATAGTTATTAGTTAACTGATCTGGACTATAAGAATTGTTTTTCGAGTAGGATGATTTATCATTGCTTTCAAATTTAATACACAACTGTCTTGAATCGAGGTGAACGAAGCGAGACGATTGTCAGACACCCGGTCTCCCAGCCTTTTTAATATCGACTTTTTTTTCTTTTGGGAACTATTGTCCATATAATTTTATTGTCGACAGAATTCTCAACATAATCCTCTTCTTTTTTTTTTTTTTTGATTTTATCATCGTTTTTATTATTGTTGTTGAATTTTATACCGTCAATTTTCATTAAAAAGTAATGTAAAATATTATTCGTTTAATCATAATGGTTTTATTAATCAATTCATTTTAATTAGTTGTGTAATTAACAATATTTTTAATTACTCGTTTTTTTTCCAAGTGTACACATATACGTATACAGCTTACGATGAGGTTGTTATAACAATATACTATGCTTATACCGTGATTGTGTTTTATCTTAATGTTAGTTTATTTTTTAATTATTTTGTGAGTAAAATGTGGTTTTAATTTAAATGTAGCATTTGGAGTAAACAAGGACCCAGCAAACCGAATTCAACTGTTTTTCGTTTCAAAATCTTACATTTTTGTTTATTAAAATATGCAGTAGTTATGTTGCAGATGTTGTATCGCACGATTGAATTGTACATGTAAATATTAATTATATTTTCTTCGAGGGTATTAATAACTCTGGAATTCACTACTAAAATATTCACCAAAAAACCATTCTCGCGGTCGGCTCTCAGTCCGCGCCACGCAGAGATAACTCATCATAACCAACCCTTATCCTGTGTTTATATATTTTTTAAATTTAAGTATATGAGCAATGCAAGACATATAGATGTGAGTGTCGACTATTAAGTAATATAGGTATACCGTCATCGTGGTGTTATTATAATATTATAATGGTTATTACGTCATGACACAGTGGGCGGCGGTGATGACGAATCGATCAGCGATCAGTGCTCCGCCGCAGAAGAACACCCCGTCCAGGGCGATGGCCACTTGCCAGGTGTGCTCGCCGATGTACGCCTCGTCGCTGCCGATGATCCTTCGGTTATCGCCGTCCCTGAACTCTTCGCCCCTCGCGGTATGCAGCCGTTCCCTGGCCGACCCGAAGTGACCTACAGATCGGCCCGTCCGCCGCGGTTGTAAGACGTCTCCGCGGACCGCTGAGCGACGTATGAGCCGCTGCCGTCGAATCATCGCATCGTCCCCGCCCCCGTCACCGCTTCCGCCACTGGCGCCACTGCCCCCGCTTCCGCCGCAACGTCCGGATTCCAGCGATGGCGTCAGGTGCGGTGACTGACCGTTGAAGTTGTCGTCGTTCATTTGCCGGACGGACGTCAGACCGCAGTCGGGTGATTCTGAAACCGATAAAAACGTCGCCGTCGGCTTTGAATTTTCGTGATAATATCACGACGTGCAAAGGTCTCGGGAGATAAGCCATATGGTAGCACATTGGTTTATCAACTCGTCCACGTTACCTGCAGCTGAGAGAAATGTACAATTCATGCTGGTCCGCCTTTCGTTCGGTATTCGAGAGACCAGTCAAACGTTCGGTATATTTTTGTTATTATTATTACTTATATGTATAAACGTAGTTCTTTAATTCAAAAACTTTCATCGGGGTTTTTTATTTGAACGTTGAAAAAAATGTACTATATATAATAGCCACATGGACAACTCATTAGAGTTTGACGAGCGAATTTCTCTCGAATGAAAAATCCTCAACTACAAATATCCTCTATGTGATCTCTATAATATCTATCAAATGACAAAACTCGAGGAGATGAGAAATTTCTTTGACGTTACATTTTAAGACAAAGGTTCTCTATAAAGCTTTTTATATTCGTTCAAATTTAACGAGGTCGTAAACTAGGAACGATCTATACATCATACTCTTTATACTATACATTACACGAAAAACAATAATATATAGCACGTTATTATTTGTACTGGCAGCCTCGATCAGAATAATCACGTGAATATATTATATTATAGGCTATAGCTAGTCATGTACGGAAATCAATATGGGGGACCACGGCCAGCCGACGCCTACCATCACTAAGCGATTGGACGGAGAAGTCGAGCTAATAAATTAAGGGCAATTCACCCCAATTTAAACAAAAATGAAATATCGGGGAGAGTCCTCGGACGGGATAGATTCGAATCATCCGCGGCGGACGCCATTAATAGAAGGTATCTTTTCGACCTCTTTTGTGACGGCTTATCCAACCATACAATTTATTATACTGATAATAAAAGTTTGTGGCAGACTTCAACGAAAAAAAAAAAGAGGAAAAACCAAAACTGTTCAAATCGTATCGTCCAATTTCACATAAAAACCGGCTGTTCTCATTATAGATAAGATGAAACGTATAGAATAATTATTGTACATTCATTGCATGCGTACGCACGCATGAGATCCATCGTCGAGGTTATACCGTGAGTTGCAAAAAATAAAAACCATTTGTTTTTGTAAGAATTAGGGACCAACCCGAATCCATGGGGTCACGAACGTTCCACCACGGTTATAATATTATTCACGATTCCGCATATAACTTTTCATTCACACGATTCCGCACAAAACCAATTTCCGACGTTGCCGATTTTATTTAAAAAATTATTTTAGACATAAAAATGGTTGGTATATTTTTGTATATATATTATATATATTTCATATTGTAACATTATTTTGGTTTTTCCTCAAATACTAGTTTATCTCAATAGCCTGCAGTGTATTACATATGTTTTACCTGGACTCATCAGTTACCTGTTCGATACCCGGTCGTACGTATATATTGCGATAAAATTATTGTGTTTTACTATATTGATATTAGTAGTATTTAAGGCCAATTTTATTTTATCACGCTCACCCACACATTTATTTAGTTACAAAAGTTTTGATGGAATTTCTGTCGGAAACTGAAATTAAAATCAGATCGATCACTTTGTACGATAATCAAAAAATGTTGAACGAGAAAGAAAAATAGTGCATGGAATTCATCATAAATGCATAAAGTAAGTATAAATCCAATCAAATTGATATCATTCATGTTTTATCACAAGTTGGTCCTCGATATTAAGGAAAACAATTGAAATACATTTTTCTATATACATTTTTAATTATTTGTTTTATTTAGTATTATTTTTTGTCCCCCTTTAACTAACAACGTCGCAACAATTTTTATGCGGAATCGTGTTAAATTCAGGGTAAATAAAAAAATCTTTTGTATTACGAAAATGTGCGGGATCGGGTAGGTAAAAAGGTATATTGTGCGGAATCGTGTGCTAGCCATATTATTAAGTAGGTGTACGGTTTTATAGAAGAGTACTGTTTGTTGAGTGCAACAATATACGTTTACTTATACATAATAACATTATAAAATTCGAATGAGATTTTATCTCGAAACTTGTTTGAACGACAAATTCTTCTAAACAACTGTTGCTCGAATACTTTTTAGTTGATTAGGCACTTGAATTATTTAGATAAGGATTTACCAAACTCTGCAGATATAATATTAAGACGGTCCTAAAAGTTTCGATTAATCACCACCGCACAGCAGCCTCGAGCTATCATTGTATACTGCGTCGCATAACTGATAGTGCGTAACGCTTTTATACTTAAAAGCACTGTGTTGTAACTTGTAAGTATCAGTACGCATATTGTTATAATCCATATATGCAGGTACCGTGGTTGCGGTTCCATATGGCTTTACCCGAATCGAATGGGCCCCAGACGGCAATTCCGTTATAAATGTTATAATTAATATTATTTTAACAATACAGTTGAATATACTTTAATGCTCTGTTGTTTACACGCGGATGCATTCCGGCATTATTTTTTAATATAAGTTAAGAATATCGTGGACAAATAATATCACACAATATGAAATACGTTTTCTAAAGGGTTTTATTCTATATATTATCATGCAAGATTTTATTTCACTTCAAACGTCTTATAAAAACTTTAAATTACTAAACGAGATTACTTATGTGTTTTTAAAAATACCATTGAAATAATAAGTTATAATAAATTATTCATCATCAAATGATTTAATACACTTGCATTTTGTACAACATTTGTGAAGACTCGTACCCACCTTCATTTGATGAGACAAAAACCTGCTTCACATACATTACCCCGAAACTTTTTCATAAAGTCTTAAGCACATAAATTATTTTGCGCAAAACGCGAAATTCTCAATCCTGTTACTTTTTAGAGACGAAAAAAACTACACGACATCATCACACGCGTGCACGCCCGTCTTATAACAAATCGTGCGCCTCTGTATCGATTGCGCGTCGATAACGAGCTGACCATAAAAATAACGACGGAATGGCATATTGAATTCAGTGTATATAGAGGTCCATGATAATGTACACCAATACAATAATAATTACTCATAATATTTTTGGGCCGACTTCAAAGATGAAAATCCTTCGGAAGCCCCGCCGCCACGTTATATTGAGATCTGGTGCCAACTGTATTATAATATTATTATGTGACCGGTAAGAGGGAAATGTGAAATATGAAATCACCTTCGGTCTTAGATACGAGTATAAATTTAAACACTTTTTTGCGAAAATAATAAATTCTTTACGGCGGTAAAAAGATAAATCCGTCACTGCAGATTGCATTATTAGCAGCAGCGGTAGCTGTATAGGAGCGGTCGTCTACAAAGCTTTGTCGTAACTAATCCGCAATTTAACATAATATATAGAGGTACATCATATTAATGTGTTTATGTATACATTTTTTTTTGTGCTTAAAGATGATCCGAGAGAATTATCGTTTTATACAAAAAGTCACTCAGACGGTCGACTATAATATATATATCGAACGATATTTGCATAAGATAACTATTAGGTACTTATTACTCGTAAAATACTTTCTGTCGACGATTAGGCGCGTATAAATATTATCTGTGAAGTCTAGGAGTTCGGTAATTTTATTTTTGATGAATTAAACGAACTGTCAATAGAATCTTGAATGTAAAAAACTGAATAAAATAGAACCGTGACTCGAATACGAATAATAACAATTCTATAAATAATAGAAAACAAAATAAAGTTATTTTAGTTAGATTCACATTCTGTGGCTTAAAAAAATAAAGTTTATTCCGTCTTGTAAATAAATCAGCAAGTAATGGCGCGCTTAAGTTTTTTTTTCATATCTATATATATTATATATATGAAATATATATATATATAAAATTAAGCCGCTGTCGTTCCGCTCAATTTATAAATTATACGAAAGTTTGGGCGATATTTCGATTTATAAACTCAATGTTTTTTGAATAATTAATGATAATTTTTGCAACGTGAAATTATTATAAAACCATTTAAGTGAACCGCGAAAGCGTTTTCCTGCGCGTCCGTCTTAATCGCCCGATTAAAATACGTCGAAATTAATTATGTTTATGTAAAACATTTTTTTTCTCAACCGATGGAAATCACTCCGAGGCCATTATGTATACAGTGCATACTGTGCTGCACCATTACACCCTCCCCCGAAACCTCGCGAACGAAATCTTTGTGCTCGCGGACCGTTTGATTTATAGTACAAACAATGTAACAATACCGTTCCGAATCATAAATCATTGTAACAATATCTCAACGATTAGATATCTGAGGGCACATTCGAGTTTAAACGCCATACGCACTATATACAGGTACGGGTGGGCGGGTGGGTGGGAGACACTCCTCTTCGGACAAATTCCATGTATCCATGTACAGCAGCGTAAGCTCCGCGTGTGCACGGACGGAATAATTCGGTTGTAGTATATTTATATCCAATTGGAGAAGCTATAGAACAATGAGGACACCGAACGCAATAACATTGCAGCAGTCAGTGAGTGAGTGTACCTACTTCTAGAAAAAGCGTTGCCTTTGATTACTATATGATTCGCGTCCAACGGACGAAGAAGCCTTATACGAAGAGTGAAATAATATCATTTCTCATCATTCATTATTCGGGCTTCCTACATGCCGAGAGATCGAATTATTCGAATTCATTCGAACCGTACGCAGTCGAAACAACACGCAGTTTTGCGACGTCGTGTTATTAATATACCTAATATTATTGTACAGTGCTGCAGTATATTTAAGATCCTTTCAAAATTATCATAGTACCTATATTACATTATGCTCACACTATATTATATTATATTGAATGCTTGTATATATATATATATATCATTTCAACGATCGTCGAGTGATAAAATAGTAATTTATGGCTGTTTTTGTTTTTGTTTTTTTTTTTTTAAATTTTTTTTTTCAGCACGTTGGGACTTTTCAAAGGGAAACTTTCTCGGCCGTTTTTATGGTTTGAAATATTTAATATATATTACAAAACATGGCGAATTTCGAGACAGTTTATATAGTGTTCTGTGTACGTATAAATGTATAATGTAAATATAAAATAGCTTGAACCGTGAAAAAAAAAACTATTATTTTCAGACAGTTATTGTTCTTCTGGTCTACGATATTATGGCGTAGACGCAGTCGCCCAACTAATCAGCCTTCTATATTGTACGACTGTGCGAACTTTTTCCTCTTGCGTTCTACATATATATATTTCGGGTTTACTGATTTATTAGGTTTTGTTTGGGAGGGTGAAAAAAATTACCGGATAAGCGTGTCAGCGTGGTTATTGTAGTAGTCCCCGGGGACAAATATTCGACCACAAAAATATGGCTTTTACAACTATATAAATTGTCTTGTTATTCCTACCTTTGAGTGGTTGTATTTCGGCGCAACCTATTTGCGAGACTTTGATTAGCCAATACTCGGTGGGTGCACTTTGAACAACCATTGCTATTTTCAAAGGTTTTTCTTGGTTCGGTTTCACCGCGACGACGGCTGAAAAAAAAAATCAATTGAAATTACTGCATTTCACTGGTGTACTTGGTGTTACTAGTGTGATGAAATAACATTCACTTCGTGTATCGAAAGTGTGTTGAGTATGATATGCATGAGGACTTACTGCTGTAACCAGTCAATGGTCCACACTGACCCGTCGTTGGCCCGTCGTTGGAATTCAAAATGTAAACTTGATCGATGTCACATACTCCTCCTATCTTGCTGGCAAGATTCACTTTTTCATAATCCACACTTCAAGAGTGCAAGACAAACATTTTTATAAAACTCAAGTTATCATGTAGAAAAGATTCTAGTGCATTAAAGCCTTAAAGGTCATACACAGGTATATTGATAAATTAATTATAATAACCGGCAATTTTAGGAAAATGTTTAGATTATTATATAATTATGATAACTACAATTTCCACACGCATGAAGTTTCTCCCCCACCCACCACTTTAACCCAGGTACTACAAACCACTTTAGAAAAATTGCTACTTATTTGCTATAAATTGCTATGGAGTTTTTAGAATTTGCATAGTTATATGGTTTCCCCGGAAAACAACTTTTTTACTTGGGGGGGGGGAGCAGCCTGACCATAGTCCCCCCACTTTAATCCAGGAACTTAGAATTTGCATGATCCGTCTTTATTCACCCACGCATTCTAACCTGGTATCAAACATTTATATTCAACTAGGATTTTAAATTAAGAATATTTAGTATTTATTGTAGATTTTTTTAATTAATTTACAGTATTTTATTAATTATGAATTTTAATTATTTCATTTTTTATTAATTTAAGTAAATTAATTTATATAGATTTTTTTTATTGATTAAGGCATTTAATCCAATTAAGAATATTTTTTATTCAATTTAGATTTTTATATAAATTCGATTTTTTATTAGTATTATATTTTTTAATATTTTAGACTTTTTATTTAATTAAGAATATTCTTTATTAATTTTAGATTTATTATTAACTTACGTTTTTTATAAGTATTATATTTTTTTATTAATTGAGAATTTTTATTAAATTCGACTTTTTATTTAATAAAGACTACTTACTTCTTATTCATTTTGACTTTTATTAATGTTACATTTTTAGTGATTTAGGTTTATTTATTAATATAAAATTTTTCTAAAGTGGTTCGAAGTTCCTGGGTTAAAGTGGTGGCGGGGAGGGGGGGCAACTTCACACACGTACAATTTTCACCAATTTATTGAATATACATTTTTTTTAGTTTATCAGTATTCGTGAGACGAATATACACGTCATTTGATATTATTTTGCAAATATATATTATTTTGCTTCCATAATAACGTTATATTATGTCGTATTTGTATGGATCATATTTGAATTAATCGATTTTTTCTTTACAATTATTTACTACGTATTACGTCTCAAGTGATAGGATACTTGCACGAATAAAAAGATCATGCAACAGAAATCGTCATTAATACATGATATTCAAACAACAAATTAACCGTTGTTCGGCCGTTGGACGTTCGTTAATGGTTAAACATATATATGTAGCGACCGTTGTTATTACGAGATTATTGTAGAATGATTGTAAATGATGCAGCCAAGTATCCAACAACAGTCTCTCGCCAACGACCCTCTACGACACTTATGTACTCGGTGAAACGTTTTCTCCCACCACATCATCGATGAAACGTTACTTTATATTTTATATTTCTTCTACCATTGATTTTTTTTTTATTATTACAAAGATTATATATTTTCAATCCACGGGAATTTATTGGTAATCCGTTACATCCAATGATTAAACGTTTCATTTCACTAAATACGAAAAGCAGAAGTTGTCCGCACCTGAGTCATAGATTTAATCTCCATATTTTTAAGAAACATTTTCAAGTAACTTTAGCCTATAGGGAAATGCATGTCAATATTGGCTTTATAAAGTTAAGTATTTTTACTCACTATGACACATTTTATAGAGAAAAATCACATTACAAAACTGTCAACATTTAGGTTTTCAGTTTTTCGTTAAATATTTGCAAATAATATGGTCCAAGATAATAAAGACATTAAACTATAAGTGAAATCCAAAAACATATTTTACATTTTTCATAAGAATAACGATTTCAAACATAATAAAATATGCTCCAATTTTTACTACTCCCCCCCCCTCCGTAATTTGCGCATAAAATATATTATATTATAAGGTGTACTTATAAGTTAAAACTATCTATAATGTCGGTAAATATTTAATGGTGAGTATTGAATAATTAATTTGTTAACCCCGAAGTAGCATATGTCGTTCTATAAATATCCGTAGAGTAGAAACAAATATGCAATGAATTCCTAATCGAAATTCACGAAGATGATGACGAAAATGGAAAGGAGACTGAAGATTATTACACCAATCAAATATAACACTTCATCTCGATCGCCGGCTAGTCAACCCTCTAAAACGAAATAGGACAGACGACAGAGGTTTGAACGAGAAAGAGAAATAAAATTACAATTTGCATATTATACATATTACACCTATACATCATATTATATTATGGTAATGAGTTTGCGACAAACGTCTCTTTTTTCCAAACATCTTTTTATATATGAGTTTAATGTAGGTATGTACACTTTGACCACAAAATATTCAAATGCAATATAAATTATACAGAGACCGTTATCAAGTGTCAAGTGGACACGTACCTAATGTAAAATGTGTGTAATGGGCCGATATTGACACGGATATGACTCCGAATGGTTTGCATTCGAAATTTAACAGGATAAAAAATAAAAACCATTACTGAGGGAATTTTAGTCAGGATTTAAACCAACATAAAAAAGTCAGTCATACCTACATGGTTTTAATTCAGAGACGAAAGATTAAATAAAAGCTTCTGCCTCCTGTACATTTCTTCTACGCAGTGCAGTATCATCCGCTTTTCGTATATTACACATGTATGGAAATTATACATCCCGTTAAAGGTATGTTTATTTTTTATAAATCGTTTTTACATACGTATATTCAAGAGCTTCCAGCCACTACGCGTAAATAACTATGATGTTACACGGAAAAGGCGATTAGTTTTACCTTTTTCCGAACAGTACAATTTTATTCTATAACTACGTGTCTCCACGTATAATATGATGACGTGGAGTGTGTTGATGCAGGTGCACTTACTAGAAAATTAATTTACATTTAAACAGTGAATTTTTTTTATAATATTTGAATTTTACATCACGCTTATACGTAACTATATCACCACGATATACATACATGCCCTCCACAATTTAAATGTACCTACACACCGTTTAATGAAGATTGTATTGACGAACTTACCGGACTGCGCACGTATCCTTTTGAACGATCAAGTCGAAATCGCATGCCAAACTGCCCGTATCAATTTTCAAATTGTCCGGTGACTGAAGGTACGTCACTTTTTGACTGGAGACGTCGCCGCACGTAAGTATGACTGAATATCATCCAACGGACAGTGAAAAAAAAATAACAATTAAAAACACATCGACACTGCGTAATCGGAAAAAAATGTTACCGTAAGCGTTGGCATTTTGCAGGCTCAAAATGCACACAACGTTTGTGGGCACTCGATATCGCTTAAAAGTAAAGAGTAAAAAGGTACCCAGTTTGAGCGTCATTAAAACGAAAGAAGTACCTATATGGCTTTTGTTGAGATCAGTATAATATGAGCCATACATGTGGGCACATGTCAAATGGCATATTATATAAATAGGTACTGATGATATTTATGACGATTCGAATAGATAGGACACGTGAAAAACGATAGTTACGTCAAATTTGTATGAAGTAATAATAAAATATAAAAAAAATTTTGGAAATGAGATATTGCCTGTGACGTCGTACTTTCGTACTTTATTCTCAGTCCGCTATGATATTATCTTATTAAGGACCGTTTCGCACTGCAGCCGCGCGTTTATGGTCGCCAATTATTCGCTCAAGTTCTCGGCGTTTTCGAATTATTACGAACATTGATAAAGTCCGGCATGTGTCGTCGCCATGACCAATAAAAAATTCCAAGGGGGGGAGATACACCCCCATCCTCACCTCAACTACGCCACCGCCGGCATGACGCGCTCACGGCTCCGTTATTATACGGCTGTTTAGTTTTGATTCGCGTTCGCATATTATTATGATATAAGATTTTTAACTTGTACGACTTGCACAAAAACTTACATCAAGCGTACATAAATATAATACAGGGCGGGGCACTGAAACGGCCGATTGTAAAAATAGACTTTCTCAGTTGTAATTGAGATGAGAATTCTCACCAAATATTATTAGTTCAAAGTCAACAATACGCCGCTTAGTAAACATGGAACAGTGGAGTGGTGAACAGCGCGCTTATGCGATAAAATAGTTCTACAAAAATAATGGCATTTACGCAGCCGCACAGCGTTCATTTCGTCTTCATCCTCGATCAGCTGCAGATCTATGAGCATGTGACTTTTTTTTTTGTGTGTGTAATTCAAAAGTAAGGTCTATGCACAGCGACCTCGAAATATTGATGAACAAAAAAACAAAATCAAATAATAAACCGCCAGCGACGCCTTTGGAAGTGATACACGGTGTAGTGGAAAATATACGAAGTAGGCTAGGATAGAGTGTTCGAGAAGAGAAGGCCGTCATCTCGAGGACATCATTTTTTTAAAAATAAATGGCATGTTATATACTTCATTATAATATATTTTTTATTTGTTTTTTTTACTTTATAATTTATCGGCCGTTTCAGTGCCCTGCATACATCGGTTTGATGTAGATCGCAGTGCCCAAAACGTATGGCGTTTCGAGATCAAGTGCCCAAAAACATGTGTGCTGTGGCCCCACAAAATATAATTTTACGTCTCGACAACGTTTATCTGCACGTTAAACGTATTACGGGTATACTATACTATATTATTATGTTATTTTCGGGTACTGACATGTGCAACAAATCAGATTACTCGATCCGTTGCAAGGGTTTCCGGTCTGACCACCGTGTTTGAAACACGATTCGCCGCTAATGCACACTCCTTCCATTTTGCCGGCTTGACATTTCCTCGGGTTGCACACGTCGGTAGTTAAGACTAAAGGGCTGTTAACAAAGCCGTCGACGTTCTCATCAATATTCATGTTCACTGAAACGAGAAGAGAAAAATACAAAATAAAACCATTACGTTTCGCGTGGGTACCTGCAGCACTAATTACCAAGCGTATAATAGTACCGTATAGTGAGTTATCAATGCACTATCGCAATATCGTAATGAACAATAATCTGCGCAGTTCACGAAACATTACACACTCAACTAAACAATTAAGGAACGCTTTTTTCCGTTTTCCTAGCCGCGCGTCAAATAACGCACCGATCGATGATGGTTTGATATTATTATTGTTATTTTATTATTATTATTATTATTATTGTACCTACACGAATATCCCATTTGGATGTCAACAGTCAACGTACGTCAAAAACTTCCATTTCTGTATATGGGTTATACTTTTATGTGTATCGCACCATGTTATTAAAGGAAATCAATACACCACTAAATGAGATTCTTCGTGTTATGGTCATTATATTATACATTTTACCACAAATACTAAGTGTTAATTTCATATTTTATACTCGTTGTTTCCACATATTTAAGAATAATTCTACTTAATGATCAACTAAAAATACAATAATCGACTATGGATTACCAATATAATCAGCTATAGACACATAATACTTGTTTGTTTGATTGTTGGTTTTTTTTTTGGAGGGGGGAGAGTTAACCCGCTTTCATACCACTGGCTAGTGAAGATTGTTTAAAGGTACAGACGAAGGACTCCAAACGATTAACATCAGCTTCGTTATAAAACTCCGATTTTTGGAGGGTGGGGGGTATATACTTGACCGAAGCCTAAAGTCACATATATTGTATTGCAGCTATATAAAAATAAAGCTTTATTCCATTAATATAAAACATACATACATAAAAGATAAACATGCACCTATATAGTAATAGAAATATTTAAATCAAAATCAATGAGCATACTAACAAAAAAATAATTTCCTGTTATAAATAAAATCCGGATCTTTATGATGATTCCACATATTATATTTGTGAGTGTGTGCAGCTTTAACCAAGTAAGAATTTATACGAATTATTTAACTAAAAAATCAGATAAAAAGTTTATTTTTTACATAACATAAAATCATATTTTAGAACTGAGGAAATAATTAAGTACTTGCCAACAACGGTATGAAATTACAGTCAATGGTAAACACTAGTTATATTTTTTTCGAGATTAATAATACGTTTTAAGAGGATTGCTAGTAGGATGAAGGTTAGTCATTACTTTAGGTTTCATCGTTTTTCTGTGCATAATAACATCATACTTTAACCTTTTTATGGGCATACAAGTCCTGAGTCTAGTGATAAACGATGACTTAGTGTAAGAGAATTAAATTTTTATAGGAAAAAAGTATAATTTTGTGTAAGAAAAATACATTTTTATAGGAAAAAAATATAATTTGTATAATATGAATAATCTTTGAATACTGAGTTCAAATTGTTTTGTTCATTAAATATAAAAATAATCAATTAGTTAATATATTTATACAAACTGATTAATAATTATTAATCAAACATTTTATATGTGTTTTAATTAATTTTTATTTGACTGAAGTACACAAAGATTAAAAATAATTGCAATTTTTTTAAATTCAATATACAAAATAATAAAACTAATAATACGTATGCAAAACTAAATTTTTACTAAAATGTTATGACATCGCTATTCATGATTATAACTGTATTATGAAGTCATCAGTCATATACGGGTCTCTAGATTCTGTATTATTTTAAAAACAATAAAATACCATTTGGGTACTTGTACATAGAAGGTATTTGTTTTTATTGAATATACTTTTTAATACATTTTACGTTATTAACTTACAAATTAAAAAAAAACATTATAATATGAACTTTGCCAAAAATATATTATGTATACGATTAAAAATTGGAAAACATGGGATTTATGTTTTAATGGCAAGGCTTTGAGGAAAATTAAAGTTGTATAAACTTAATTAAAAACTTTCAAATTCGATCATAACTAAAAAGACAAGATTGTAAGAAAATATGTATTTTTTTAAAAATAAGTTTGATAATTTAAAAAAGTTCAATATTTTCAATATTGTGAAACAATTAAATATTAACTATCGTTTTAAGTGGAATTACTTTTTAAGAGATTATGACTATAGTACTAATACCATATGTTTTATAAAATACAGGACTACAAAAAGTGATTTTAAGAACCATATGATATATTTAATAAATATCATAAATTAATTCGCCAGACTGGATATGAGACTTGTTATTTGAGCGTATGACCCGCTATACTCACCTATTAGTGGAGAGCAGTGGTGCGTTATGAAATTAAATTAGAAAACAATGATAAATACAATCGTATACTGGTATACTATCATAAAAAAAATATGATTGGATTTATTAATTGTTTTCTAAGGTTCTCTATGCTTTTAGTAATTCCTGAGAATTTAGAAATAAACATTGCCTATAAATATGTTAAATATTTTATGTTTACTTTTAGTAGAAAGTTCTACTGCTTCCTACTAGACTTGATTCACAATTATTTAGGTAAAGTGTCTAATTGATGCATTTTTGAAGTATACATAACGTACATGTATGTATTATATATGTGTGGGTGAACATATATTTTAGATTCTAAAAAGAGCTATGAGTATACTGATTTTACAATTATGAGTGGTTTTGTTTTTGTGTACACATCATAGGTGGTATACACGATTTATGTGAATGCTTAAATTTCAAACTTCAATATTACCTTTTCTAGTATAAATATTATACATCAAATACTTTTATAATAATTAAATATTAATACTATAATAAATGCAAAGTTTCTGGCTAAAATGAATCTCATCACCTATCAAATTAGGAAGGAAAATTAGTACTTATAAGTAGTAAAATTATTTACTTTTATAGCGATATAAATACATTCATATCACAAAATATGACTATTGATATAGGCCGACAGTCAGAATCGTTTTTCGTATAGATAAATACGTATAGATTATCATTCAAATTCAACATATAACTATACATTAATTACAGGAAATTATTGTATTACAATTTACAGTAACCTGATAAGGTACACTGTGTACCTATTTTGCAGCAGATCGGTTACCTATTTATCCCATTTTTTTTAATTGAATGGATAAGTATTGACATTTTGCATATTGAGACTTTTTTTATTTTACCTTCGGCCTGAATTAGAGTTACACACTTGGAAACTTTTTAATAAAATCAAATGTAATCATTGATAATAATTGCCAATTACTATTTGAAATTCAAACTTAAGTTATTATAGATGACACTGGAGTACAGTCAGATAGTCTGCAAGTTGAGTAATTCAGAATATCTTAGGCTTTTGAATAATATTACCGAGCTGTAATATTTACGATGACCTAAATACCATTATGAAAGCTATACCTACGCCAATATCATTACAATATTCGACCTGAGCCTTTAACGACTTATTCGACATGGTCCGTAAAGTAATTAAAACGCAGCGAGAGAAATGTAATATAATTAATTTTTAGTGAACTGTTTGATTCCATTATACGTTACAAATATTTTATCAACCCATCACATACATCACTTTTAAATTTAATTATTAGTTGTTTGATATTGTCTTATGGACCCATCGGCACTACCTAACAAAAATGTGTCTCTCAAAATAAATCCATAACTACGTAAATAGTTTTTAGAAAGAAATCTTTGGTGAATTTTTGTTGAAAAAATATTCTCAGTAAGAAAACGTATTGGTTTTCTCAGAAAATATTTATTTTTATACTCAGGGGTACCTATACATATTTCACCATGTTCATTATGTAGCATTTTATTGGAATTTAATAATATACAGAGATATTGTACATAAAAACGTGCTAAAATTCTGAAATTCTTAACATTTCTACTGAAAGTCACTAGATCTATGCACAAAAACTCTGTCGTTCAATCAATTTTTTTGGAATACTTATAGTAGATCGCTTCCGATAAATTGTCCAACCGTATGGCATCCAAAAAAGTGTAACCTTTTTACCCAATATGCAAAGTAGACACTCTTTGCATACTAAGTTAATCTGAATATTTATTAACGAAACATATATATATATATATTACAATGTGTATCACCACAATATATATATGTATACTGTGTTATTATCCAGAGATGAAATATTACGAGAAGCGATATTACAATATAGATTTTGCTGCTTTTGGCCGCAAAATAATGTTATTTATTATACTAAAAAGTAACTATTTAAACACTAATTGTTCATTATCACAGTTCACATTATGCGCTATTAACTCGGTCGGGATGAACATGTATTGAAATATTATGCTTATAAGGACCACCCGAAGAACGAACGTTGTTTCAAACAGAAACTAGGGGACGGATCCAAGATAATACGTTTGCTTCGGCGAATGACGTTTAATAATACCGTGATAATTTAACGTCATCAACTATATATTATAATATGACGTTAGATGTTTTGAAGCAAAGTCACCTCGAACAACAGATTATTATGGACGACATTAGTGCGCACAAACAACCATCACGCAAATTATTTCAAAGACAAAACATTTAAACGCTCGTCGTCTGCGGCAGATTTGCATAAGCCAAGGGGCAAACTAGAAACGCTCTCGACGTCACTTAGTGACAGATATCCGCAAGTATAGGTACGCCGAGGCACTAAGAAGCTGTTATAATAACATCAATTCAAACGGATACCGATAATGATGATCGAAATAATGACGATGATAATGCGATCGCGATGACGGTAATAATATTGCCACATTGGGTGGTGCCGTTCCGGAAGAGATTCAATCGGTTGGTTTAGGTATGTCTGCGGAGCGTCTCCTCGCCAGTCGACCACTTTTTTGTAATAATTCATACATTGTGTTGTAAAATATTACAGCCACGGTGTTTAAGATCAAAACTCAAAAGGCACGACATGTATAAGATTTATGAATTCTACTAGAGTTCAACAATTTTTTCTCTTCTCGTTGCTAATAATAATAATAATCTAATACTACGGCCGATTTACGTAAGTCTGTAGGGAACTAGTCGAGTGTTCGAATGGAAATGTGTTCGAATAGTATTATTTATTTATTTATTTATTTATTTAATTTTAATTTCATACATATATACATACATATGAATACTGGGCCCCACTGAGAGAACTCGTGTGGGGGCCCAGTATGTACGAATGTATCTGTTCGAATGGACTTGTGTTCGAATAGTATTATGTACGAATGTTATATTTTCCTATTTGAACATAATAACGAGTATCGGATTATCATAGGTTAGGTTAGTCCATAGTCACAGATATAATTTACCTAATAATTTGTTAAAAAGCCAGATAATAGATATTATACTTTTATGATCGCGCGATAAACCAGCCATATTAAATGTATATATGTATAGAGTGTATATTAACTGATTACCCAATTTCAGCACTTTCAGAACGAGACAGAAAGTTCGATCGAACAGTTGATTTAAAACAGGTTTCCAAAAAAGTTCAAAGAATCCAAACAACAACGAGAAGAACGTATTAAAAATCTTGTTCTAAGCTGTAAAAACAATGCTGACAATGCTGATTTTAATATTTTAGAATTTTTAAGGGGAATTGCTTATAATTTATCTTTTTAAAACATTTTTTTTTTAGATAATATAATATCATATTTAATTGTATAGTTAAGATTAATAATAATTAATAATATCAATAATAATAATAATAATAATAATAATAACAAATAATTTTTATACCGAAAAATTACATTTTGTTGATTCCACAATAAAAATAATATTCGAACATTTAAACTTTCTAACAGATAACATTCGAACACTTTTAATTCAGACACACTCGTTCACACATAATATTCGGACATTTAAATGTTCCAACACATAAAATTCGAACACTTTTCATTCGTACATATTCATTCGTGCACATGATTTTCGAACGAACAACCCCTTGCCATTCGTCAGCTGGGTATAGTACTCCGAGATATCTGTAAAAACAAAAAAAATCCAACATCGGTGTAGATCAGACGCTGTGAATTATTAATAGAACCGTACAGCATAATAATATTATACTGCAGAGTGCAGTCTCGCCGCGTTCGGCACTTACATATACCCACCCCTAGCATACGGCAAGGGGTTGTTTGTTCGAAAATTATTATTATTATGCTGTACGGTTCTATTAATAATTCACAGCGTCTGATACTCTGATCTGGGCCGATATTGGATTTTTTTTGTTTTTACAGATATCTCGGAGTTCTATACCCAGCTGACGAATAGCGGTGAGACTGTAATAAATCATAATATAATAGTCCGTACGCAGACGTCGCCGTCGCGTAGTAATGATGATATCATGGGCGCCCATTGGGGGGGAGGGCAAGACAGGGCACTTGCCCCCCCTGGAAAAAAATATTATGAACTTGTAGCTCAATAAATATTACCACAATATTACCTTAGGTATTACCGAAATTTTTTATTTTGACTCCCCCTAAAATGTTACCTATGGGCGCCCATGGATGATATTGTATTGTATCCGCCGTCGTCGAATAATTGTGGTCGTACGAAATATTATTACGACACGTCGTACAATCACGATTCGCCAGGTGTAGGTGAGGAAACGAGTACCTACGGGGTAATGAGAGACGGTTGTGTCAAAGTGGAAAGCGTTTATGATGTGTACGACAATGACGTGACGGCATCACATCACTGGACCCGCCGCAAAAATTATTATTTCAATTCGATTGCGGACGGAATAAGCATGCGCTGTTAAACAATATAACGTAAAATAATAATACTAAAATATTATGATAATGCGCTCGCGACGTTTAGTGTTCACCGAACACCGCAACGGTGTTCATTAATCCGAGAATCGCAGCTAATCATTTCGCGTTTTCCAGAGCGGTCTATATGTTAATCTAAAACCGCTTTGACGAGCTCGTTTTTGTGTGCCAAGTATGGCAAGTCTGACGGCAATATTAATATTTTGCACAACACCGAGTTATATAGTCGCAGGTAGCGTGGAGGTGTTGTGCGTTAACTAGATTGAAATATTTAAAATATCTTGTTTGTGTGAATAGTAAATAATATTATATCCATGCGAAATGGTTATCTGAGATAAATTATAAATCCATAGACAATGTTTCGTGCGACACGGTGTTCAATTATATATTAAATGTATTGTATTTATTTTTTGTTTTTAATTTTTACAAGTTTTCGCCTTTACCCGGTTTATTTTATTTTAGAGTTCTTTTATACTTTCATTTATTAGTTATATTTTACTCAAGTTATTCTGTAGTACGTCTATAGTAGCGTTTCCCAAAGTGTGTTCCGCGGAACCTTAGGGTTCCGTTAGATGTATGAGATTATTGAGAAAATTATGTTTATTTAATGTTTGTTGTTTGAAACTAAGTTTAATAATGAAAAGTCATTAACAGTATCATTAAAATATTATTTAGACTTGAGAGTTTAAGGAATTGATTTTCCTTTTTTAATTCACAAAAATTGTAGTTGAGTTGGATTAGATATTAGGGTTCCGCGAAACACAAACAATTTTTTAAGGGTGCCGTGGTCGTAAAAGTTTGGGAACCGCTGGTCTATAGTATGTCGTTCATTATTAACATCGAAAGATAATCGTATTTAAGAGAGCATAAATTGAAACTTGTACAGCAAATACCATTATATTTGTAACAATAATGCTATATTACAAATGCAAGTTTTAAATTATGTAAAAACTCATCTTGTTTTTTATCTAGATAAATCTGGCTATCTTTTATCTATTATAATCGATAACTTTTGGGTTATCTTTGTACAAGCAGCACATGGTGGTATTTGGCGTGACGTATATAAAGGGCTGTGAGCACTTGCATCGTAATGGCCGGCGATTAATCTGCAAAGTGTCCAGTATTTTGGTTTAGGGTTTTTATTATTATTATTTTTTATCGACTCACTTTTCTTCACTGTGAAATGAAAAAATCGTTTTTACCCAGATAGAATTTTTAACTCATCCGCACAGTGCGTCAGTGTGAAGTTTTTCTGTTTCTGTGGCAAACTATAATGTTAGATAGATACCTATATATGGTTTTAGTTTCACTTTCTGCTATACTTCAGAATAATAATGTATAATAATATGTTTTTACTAGAATACTAGATAGGTGTATTACATTTTTGCTCAACGGTTAAACAGATTTAAATCGAATTTTCAATAGGTTGTAGGTAAAAGGCACGTCGTCTCGAAGTTTGCACATTTAATCACATTATTACATACGAACGGACTTACGCGTCAGTGGGCATTTTCGTATTGACATAAATATTACACGTGTTAATACACGATGCATTGTACCAAATAAACCTCAACCCCTATCCACTATACATCTACTCCACACTCGATGGCCGACAGTAAAACGACAGTATATATAAATATATACAGGGCGACTCAACGAACATTCACCCCTTTTCGATATTGAATAATGTGCAGTTATTCAATATTTGATTTTTGGAATTTTTCAAAAATAAATAGGTACTTAAGACCATATTTTCAAAGTTTAAGGATTCTTTTGTACCTACTACTAAAAGAGTGTCCTGTAGAGTGTACTATAGTACAGTGTCCTGTATATATTATAGGTTAGGTTAGTATTGACGTACTGTTGCTGTTTTTTGGCAATATAAACATTATGAGCTAATATTGTTTGAGGGGCTTTCCCATAGTAACTTGTCTAGCTCTCCCCCCCCCCACCCCCCATAAGTACACCCATGGAGTCACCGATTAAATTTGTGCACTAAGAATAATATAGCGATGGTAATGGATTCAGAAAATACGGGGACCATGGTGTTTTGACAATGTTTATCATTAATATAAATCCATCAAAATGTATAATTTTTAAAAATGGTCCAAGTTTAATAAATACAAGTAAAATGCATATACTTTTAATTACCGTTTTATCTCCACTCCTCGGTAAAAACGTTTTAATTACAACAACTATTCATTTGAACCTTGTAGGTACCTGTACGATATTTTCAAAAAAATGATCGACTAAATAAATAAAACAGGTCGGGTTCTCATTTGAAAAATAGACGTTTGTATCGCCACACGGACACTCCTTTATTGTGCGATACAAAAATCTAAGCAATTTGCAAATATTGAAATATGATGGTCGTCGCAGATGCGTTGAGAAATCAACGAAATCAGAGTACGAAAAAACAATTCACTATCAGACGAAAAAATGGGGTGAATACCGAATCGCCCTGTATGTCGTGTACATAAAAATCGCTCGGTGTTCAGCGGCAGTTACCTACCTTGGTTACCGGATGCCCGTGCGGCGGCGTCAGTCGCGAGTTCGTCGTCTTGCAGCAAATACCTCTGGTGCCGCATAATGAAATTGGTGGCGTTCAGCAGGGTCATGGGCATTGCTTTAAAGTCGATCGCGTGGCCTCGTACACTGCAAACGATAGCACATCGAACAATAGCATAACAATATAATATGACAGCACGCATATAAATTACATAATATATATTATAATGTGTTACGCGACTCTTATAAAAAGGCCCAATTCGACTGTTTGGAAAATACGTTTAGGTAGGTACTGTTTCCGAAGTATGCCCACAACGTTTTGTTTTCAATTAGCACTTAATTTAGCTCAAAAACACGAATTAGCAAAAGAGATACGAGTGATCAAAGTATATTTCATGGCTTAAATATACAAAGTTATTGCACATAGCCAAATTGTTATCAAATAAAAATAAAATGGCAGCGTAAGGGTACGGTCCATATCATAATATAGCCAGTATACGTCGTCCCCTTACGCTGCCATTTTAATTCCTTAACGTGATAAAATGATATAGTGGGGGTACTATTGCAATAACCTTGTATATTTAAGCCATGGTATATTTACTATTTAGTTGTCGATAAATGAGTTTCCTTCGTCTACTGAAAGAAAAAAAAATTGAAATTGAGCCTTTGTTCAGACGTGTGTGACATAATATTATACTTGTAACTATAGTCTATATACGTGACATTTGGAAAAATGTTAAAAATCCACTTAATTAAATAAAAATTCGCACACTCTAAGAAATTATAATTGTTGCATAATATTCCCATAATGTAAGATGTTAGTTTGTATAATAATAATATAATCATATCGTGCATTGTGTACCAACATTAGCCATAATATATTACATATTATAGTTTAGAAGTTTATTTCCCTTAACTTGTGGACCGACATAATAGTCACTTTTGACGTGGCTCACTATCTAACTAATTTAACGAGTCCCTAATCACTTTTACTGCGCCGGCGTAACGTAAACTTACAACGGGTTATTTTTTACTTAAAATCTTATTCGGAACAGATTATTTCACTTATCGATATGAATCGGTTTTTCAATTAAACAAAGTGGGTATACCTAATGTTTATTAATTTGTTTAACTTAAAAGCATTTTTCGGTCATTCGATACTTATAATAAACTGTCAATAATATAAAATATTTCCAATAACAAATTGGCAATAGTATATTACAATGTTTATTATTTTTTATGATCTGTTAAACTAATGTATTGTTAAGCAATAAAATAAATAAATATGACGTACCTACACACAACTATAAGCAATATAAATCATTATGTCTAAACAAGTGATAATTAATATTTTATTAATGCAAATCATAGATATTACTATTATGCAACGATATTTTTTCAACCGACACATTTTCCCATTTGACAAAAAGCTTTAGATTTTTATTCACTAGATCCTTGATCTTCCGCAGATTTTCCAATGTCCGGTCTAGTTGTTCGTCAAATTATATAACATCCTCACTAGTTATATCAAAATATTTTCTTAAAATCTTCACCAATACAATACATCGTCTGATTGATACCAGTATATACTTTTTCTAATCAATAAATACTCAAGATCGAGTTTGATTTATATGTTAGGTGTTTTGATGTTTTCGAACTGTGCATCAAGAAACCTTAACGCGTGGTAAGTATTATTTATTAACAGATTGAAACGGTACAATATTTAAAAAGTTTTTTTTTCGGGTATATATCCCGGTGTACATCATAATTTATTTTTAACTAACGGGGTTTTAAAAAAAACTTTGCGGCGTAAAAATATTTTTCGGGGCTTTTGTGGGCCATTTATAAAAAAAAAAAGCACCAGTGAAATATGAACTTATTAAACGTATATAAAGATTGTAATAACACTATAACGGCCAATATACGTCACGCGTCCATTTGCAGGACGACATTATTACATCGAGACGATCATCTTATTATTATTATATAGAGCCACTGCCCGTCATACACCTGCCTATAATGCCTGCGTACATTTCGTGTACGAAGTGCTCGCGTCTGCAGAACGGTGTAAAATATCGATTTCAGCAAAGCGAACGTGACGACTAACGTATAGGGGTACTTACCGCGTGCTTGCGTAAACAATGTATAAACAAAACAAATATTATGACATCGTGTATATAATATTATGATTATATTCTCTATGGGTAGGTATCTACCTGGACGGCCAGCTGCAGCAACAGGTGAACAACACGGCGGCGGCGGCGGCGGCGTACGATACTACCACGCGTATTTCCATGGTCCGTCGAAGGAGCACTGTCGTCCGACGCGTCCAGAACTCTACGTCCAATACGGCTTATCCTCGTACGGCAGTCGGGTCCAAAAATAAAACACTACGCCGGCGTGTCGTACGGATCACGCGATCTGTATATAATCGGGCAGAGCGCCGGTGGACCAGTCGGGTTCGACGTGAATGCAAAGAAAACTGCAGGAAATAAAATACTACGCGGACGTGCAGTGTACATGCGGATCACGCGATCTGATGTATATAATCGCCCAGAGCACCCGCGAGCCGGCCGGGTTCGACACGAATGCAAAGAAAACCGGAAAACAGTGTGTACTTACCAGGTTACTGGTCGTAATTACGACGATGGCCACTGCATTAGTAGGTGCACACCGGGCACGCCGTCACGCTCCCATTCGTCGGGATAGAGCACACTCGCGCCGCCGTGCCCTACCCGTCGAAGATTATTGAGCCGCTGCTGTTCTTTTTTACCATCGTGTGGACGACTATCCCCATGTAGGTCCATTATGTTGTTATGATTTTACGGTCGCCCGACGACGTCCAATTTGGTACTCAACAGTTTTTTTTTTTGCTTAATTTTTTTTCCCCAACATAATAATTATTGTTATGGACACCCGTTAACGTATATAATTATATATATATTATTTACGTGTGTTATTTTTTTCGCCATGTTATTACGTCTAATTATACGTCTCACCGTGTTTGTACTCATTACTATACCTATATGATAATTTATGTGGATAAAGTAATATATATATATATATATTATGGTAATCGTGTTGACGAATGAATCTGTCCGGATATCTCTAAAATAAACCAGTAAGCATTAGAAGTAACCGAGATTTTCTTTTCTTAGTGTATTTTATGTCGGACGATGAACATTTTATTATTATTATTATTATTTATTTATTCAAAGGTCGACGTCCAAAAAGTATAGAAACAGATAAAGGCATGGAGATAAAATACAATATACTTAAAAAAATAGTCAACATATTTTTCTGCAACTAAGAAAAGAAAGAAAGAAAACAATATGAATTTATAGTAAGGATATATTATAAAATATAAAGTTTCCAAATAAATTGTTTAAGGCAAACAAAATCTACATTATTCGTTGTATTCCCAACAGATAACAAAATATTAATAGCCGTACAAGATATATTGTTTTGGAAATAATGTGGATTATAAAATAATTATTTATTTCAAAGTAATATTGCTTAGTAGGGATAGTATTGTGTATACTTTTATACTTAAAATTATATATATATGCATTATGCATACAGGGTGATTCTGCTGACTAACATTTTTTTCATTTAATAATCAATGTGGAATTTGTAAAGTATACCTAATCAGATTTTCAGATTTGCCATACCATTTAAGGTTTCGTGTAAATATACCGATTACTTTTTGTCAATTGAGATTTGAGAATCATCTTTTTTTCTGCTAATCAGATAAGTTTATAATTTTTTAACAATGTTGATGTAGCTAAATTTGAATTTTAATGAAAAGATTTTAAGATTTTCAACATAATGTACTAAAAATACTAATAAATAATAATTATAGGTTCGGGAGATATGAGTCCATAACCATTCGACGATTATAGTAGCTAATGTTAATCTATAACAATTTTCTATTTTTATAAATTTATAAATTAAATTTTGCACGACACCATAACAATACATAGGCACAAGATAATTTGTATTTTAATAAAACACCAAAATTCTTCAAAAAGCACAATACAAACAATCATTTAATAACCATTAATCATACTCCTTAAATGGTGTAAAAATCTAAATGTTTTAAAATATAGCCCTTAAGTACCAATACTTTAAGATTTCAGAAATCTGAATTAGAATAAATGTATTATCAAATTATTAAATATTTATTATTAAATTACTTATTATTACTTTTTACTAAATGTGGATAAACAAATAATACTTGGTGAATCTCCTTGTGTGTGCATTTCGCATAAGTCTCAAAATATTCATAATAATATGTTTGGGTCTATATATTTATGATAATGGAAGATATGGGTTGAACTCAATTTTCGGTGGTACTAAAGTAATGGTATATGTATTTTAGCCTCAGCTCCTGGCTTCTTTAGTGTGTTGGGGTTTATTAATAAAATGGGGTGATAAAGTGATTTTGTACCTTGCGCCTTATATATTAATATGAAATTATAATCAGTAGGCAATATTTGCGTAGGAATAAAAAAAGGTTTAGAAAAGGTCGTAACTCGTAGGTAATTTATGTATGTTGCATCATAGCTCATACTCTTTTTATATTTGAGTCTCTTTTCTGACTTTTGATATAACCGTTAATAATATATGAAAAATGTTTTTAAATATTTTAAAATATTGTCAAAACATTACTGCTCAAATTTAGCACATAGAGAGAATAACATTATAATCATTATACAATATTTCCGATCGTCAAACAAAAATATGTCTGGACAAATAATGTTCATGTCAATTGACAATTCCTAATATACAATATACGCATACGTAAAGTGGTATTTAAATAAGTTACTCCAAAGTTTAAATGTCACCAATAACGCTCAAACGAAGGGTTAGTGATGCATACATATTTTATGTTGATACTTCAATGAAGTTTCTAAATCGAATACACACACTCATAGCCACTTATAAGTGATGGGTAGGCATATCCGTAACGATTTTTCGATCATTGAAATATAATATTTGAATGCGCGTGTCGTATCTATGGCCTAATCGCCGTATAATTCGGTCTGTAGCAGTGCGATCAAAATATTATAGGACCGAAATAATTTTTATACACATCGAACGCCTGACAATATTAAAATAGTATTGTTGTGTCGCCAGTGTACAAAATACAATTAACGTAATGTACGACGATACGTAATGAAATAAATATTGACTGCGGCTGTCGTTTAATCGAACGAAACGAATTAATAACACTCAAGAATGTTTTTGCTAATAGAACAGCGAGGGCCCCTCGATCGGGTTTCGTGTCGTCGTCAGAACGCGGCCGAGTATTGATGGTAGACACGAGACCATTTATATAAATCGGATAGCGTGTACCTGCCGCGCGTATACCGGGTTATAGGTATATACCCACCCCTGTATACCTGTATATAGACATTCCACTCGCGTAATAATAACATCGTATAATCTAGTTATATAGGACGTAAATGCGCGAACGGGTATACGCGAATCGTGATCGATACCCCGTGTGTGTGCGTGTGTGCACGATGTATTATGCCTACCCGTGTGCGTTGGCGCATCAAAAAAGTTGACGTTCGAACAGTGCAGTGGCGGCTGGCATGATATATAATATAATATCACGTATACATTGTACGTGTGTGCGGCGGGTTTTTCGTCGCCATTCACGCGGCGAATCCGACGAAACGCGTAAATAATATGATATCGTATTATACACTTACTTACTTACTTACTTACTCGGCGTGTATGGGACGAAGGTACGCACACACCCGCGCGACGACGGCGTACGTCTACCCACACCTCCGATACATCACACGCGGGGCGGGCACAGCCGCGCCGCGGGCGGAAATCCATTAAAATTTCACGGCGAGATGGTCTGATAATAATAATAATATGTTTAACACTGAGGTTAGTGGCCCGAAAAATCCGAAAGAATAAATTGCCTCGTATTATACCGGCGCGTAAACACGATAGAAAAAAAAAACTATTTCACACGAGTATATTACGCCCTAGACTTGAACCCGTGTATATAGGTACTCGCACCCACTGCGTGGGTGTGTGTGTTGGAAGTGGTTAAATTTATGCTGGGGGGAGGGGGAAGGACTCCGATATACCCTTACCTCGCCTGCTCTTCAAAAGGTACGAGGCCGAGGCCTTGAAATCATTGAAACAAAAAAAATTCTCCACCGTTCAAAATCCGTAGTTATTTACCGTCGAAATTCTATCGTTTTATAAATCTGTTAACTGCAGGTCAATATTATTATAGTCGTATAAATTGTTTTCATCGGCCGGGCATAAGCCCTCACTCGACACGTACCAGGCGACGTATCCGGTACAATAATATTATCATATTGATGTTTCTATTACCGAGGTTTCGTGCAGGGTGTGGCGTGTTGAATTTATATTTTTTGTCTTCGGGGGAGGGGACGCTATGGTCTTTTTCCTTGTGCTGTCGACGGCACCGCTGGAACTTCTTGCAAATTCCGAGGAGGTTCAACAGAATTCTGGGCTGCCATAAGCCCCCTTAACCCCCCCCCCCCCCAGCGCGCATCGATATTAAACCCAGCAATTCAATTGGTCGGGAAAATCAAAACGGACAACCGCGGCCGTTCCTCGGCTAACGATTTTTAGTACGCTCGACAATAACGCTGCAACACGCGCGACGCACGAAATGAGACATTATACAAGAACGACGACAGCAGTGGCCTTTGCCGTTTTGTGGCACCCAAAGCCCCGCGGTGTGCACACATATACATGGTCACACGCATAATATATCGGTCCCGAACGGTATAAGATAAAAAAAAAAAAAAAAAAAAAAATATAAGACCGCCGCCGCCGCCGTGACATTGTTATACAATTATTCCGTTTCGTTTGTTCGGTTTGTCCGAACCGACGACGGGAAATCGAAAACATTTCAAAAACATCACGGCGGCCACGGCACGGCGCCATATACGAGAGAATCACATACGACGTGTGTGCACAATATGCCTACCCGTACACGCGAGACTGTACGAGACAAGACGCGACAAACCGCCGCGCGTACGTCCCCAGCTGCGTAAATGTGTTTTCTCCGCGACGGGATGGATCGGATTGAAACTTTATATACGATATATTAATTGCTTCGGAGACGGGAAACACTTGGGAAAAAATGCATTCCTCCGTCGCAGCATTTCCGGGCTTATATATATAATATATGTACCTAAGCTCAGCCGTCTACGCGCGTACACAGGTACATATGAGTAGGCATACGGGGTGATTCGAAATGCGTATGTTACAGCCGTTTTATCGTAAAAATATTCGAAATAATATAGTGAAAAATATACGACGACTCAAAGATTTTCGATTTGGAAACATATCAATTATGATTTCATGACTTTTTACGATATTTTAAGGGGGTTTTGAGGAGTCGACTTTAGGCGTTCAAATGGGAACCCATACTTTTTTTGCAAAACACAACGCGGAAACGTTTTTTAAACAAACCGTTGTGCACGAACTACATTAATAATATTATTATGTAATGCAAAACCCTATGGCCGAGAGCTATTCAATAGAAGTGTATATACGGGTCTCCACATTTTGAAATTCTAAAAGGCGACCCACGAAACCCCCTTACACGGGGTCGTAATCAATTATTACGAAATCGCAAAAGACGTTTCTAAATCGAAAAAGCTTTTGTATTAATTATTTTTCAACCGTTTTGAAAATATGACGAAATGGCTGTAAGACATACATTCTGAATCACCCTGTACCATACACGTGCACGGCGTATGCTTATATACAGACGTTCGCCGCTACCCCAGTGGCGTGGCGACAAGATTTTATAGTAGGGGCGAATACATTTTTTTGGCACCCACCCACGTCTCACAGATTTGTATATCCCCCCCCCCACCATAATTTTATTACAAACCTCTAAAAAAGTTATTATTTTTATTTTTATAATTAACCAATTCTAAATAATTATAATAATAATAGTAAATAAGAATTCTAGAATAGTATACTGCTGTTGAATGACAAATGTCATAAAGGTAAATTAATATATTATTTACCCTTAGATATCACCCACTAACATAAGCACCCACCCATCCCTGGGTTGTACTAGGGGCGGTTGCCCCAAAAAATCTACTTCGCCACGCCACTGCGCTACCCCATACACAATATGTACACGTCACATATTTACCCATATGTCGTACCGCGTATGTTAGATCAATTATTGTATTATAATATTTATTTCTCGAACGGTATGAAATGTCTGATTTAATGAGAACGCGAAGCGGCTTTTGTCGTAAAAAAAAAAAAACAAAACTAGTCCCTTCCGTCCTTGTCCGCTTCAGCTACTGACGCCGAAAACGCTACTTTTTGGCTCGTTTGTGTATTGTATAATAATAATATGCACCGTGTAATAATATATTCAGTCGTGTAATGCGTACGAAACGCCGAGCATAGCAATTTTTAATTAAATGTTTATTTAATTGTTATAAACGTTATACGGCGAAAAAAATATGTAATTAAATTAAACATGTTTTTTTTTTTTTTACATACATAATCTCCCGTTGTCATTGTATTATTGTACGCTGTAGGTGCGTATTAGCTGTAGTTTTGCAGGTTAAATGGCAATTAAAACTAAAAACATCCCGAAAAAAAATTTATAATTTGTTTCTTGTTTTCAAACATTTAACACATTTAGCATGCATAATATGCACATTGTACGGGCCTCGTAAATCACAAGCGTGTACCGGCTGCGCAAGGCACCAGCCGAAATGTTTAAATCTGACCCCAAAATAATTCAAGCCCAAAGGCCTTGATTTCATGTTCTCTCTTACAATATCGCTTGATAAATAGAAATAAAACGCCCAAGTGGGCAGTAATACAGCAATAGAGTTGACAGAGTCTTCCGATATTGAGAAATACGAAAATTCTGTATTTTTACGTTAAGCTGTGTTAAATTTCGTTGCGCAGTGAAATTAAAAAAACGGTTGTCCGCGAGTATTCAAATTACACGAAGAGTACATCTATTATTTACAATATCTCTACAAAACCGGTGGGAATATTTTCACGAGAACCTCTTCCCGTTCCCTCCCACTACCAAAAAAAAAAAAAAAAAATTCCGCGATCTATACATTGCGATATTTTCTACAAATATTTGTTTTAAAACGACACATAATACGCTATTCAGACCGCCTAAATCGATTTAGAAATCTATAGGAATTTGGTAACCTGCCGGTGGACGGCGGTACAGAGTAGTGTCGCCTCATTACGTGCTGGAGAAACGGACCGAACTGTATGCAAATTATTTCGGACACGGTGGGCGACGGCTCGGCGGAATATTATATCATTGTTGTGGGAATAAGGGCTAAGACGAACAATTTCGAAGGTCTTGCACAGTTGCGACACAATGGGACATACGCTCCTATATTACCGCGCGGTCAAGGCGTGTAGCTAAATTGCATACACATGTCGCCGTGTCATTATGTTCGACACGACGTATTATAATATAATATAATCATCCCATATCGCAGAAACATAATATTATTGTTGAATAAAATATACCAATGAGATACATTATTGATTTGTTAGCAATATGTCCACGGGACGTCTTAACTACCCCTGCTACTAACGAAAAAGTCAATAGTAATATATTAACCGTAAATGTATTGAATGAATGCATTGCGAAGAAACTTTGTTCATCATAATATTATGTTATGATATGATGTATCGGAATAGAAATATTTAATCATATCAACCAGATATTATATTACAGATATATTACGAATGATATACCCATTGAATGTGTTTTTACGTCGAACTAATATTCAAATAAAAACATCTCATTTATGTCGACACCGTCATTATATTATATCTACGGGTAGTGCTTGGAAAAAACACGATCGTGAACTTCCGTTCACTGCGTTCACATTCGTATCGAGTGAACGACCACGTCAACGTCACTATTTTTTTTTTTTTATAAATAGAATGCGAACGTGAACAAAATTCATATTTTTAGAGAACTCGTATAACGTTTTACAGGCCACGGAGATAATTTTTTTTTTTTGTGAATTGCGGAATTGTGTATTAGTATATCTGTCTACATTCAAATTAAAAATTATATGTATGTGTCATATACTATAGATAGCAATTAATTTTTAAACAAATAATTAGTTCCTCTTGTAAACGAACGTGAAACATGTTCCTTCGTAAAAATAATGAATGTGAACGCGAACGAATTCAGAAATCATGAACTTTCCAAATACTGCTTATATAGATACATCGATTGGCATAGACTGCATTATTGCGGATGTGGCACAAAAAGAAAACTTCCGAAAATCCAATCTAAACCTACAATAATATTCCACGGAGGTGTCGACTAACGAGATTTTAAGTTTTCAGTGTATCCTGCAATATTTCTAATTTCCGACCAATGTGCAATGCCGTTGTTTTTCCTTATGAATAAAATATTATTTAAATCGATAGTAAAGTTGTATTTGATGTGAATAATGTAATCATAGATCAGCAGTATACCTCATAGAATGACAATTTCAAAGTTGACAATAAAAAATTTGAGAATATTAATTTTTTTCGAACAAAGTCTTGGTGACACCTGTTCCATTTCAATACATGTTTTACTTGTTTTTTAATTTTGCGGTGGAAAGATTTCGGAGCTGACTTCAAAACTAATCTAGATAGTATAAGGCGTCGATAGCGACATATTTACAAAAAAATAAAACTTCAAAAACATTGGTTTTCAATTTTAATTACTATTTACTATATAGCGATGGAAAATAGTTTTTCAAGTGCTGTTATTGTTCCTTCAATTTTAAAGGAGTAGGAGCACATTTTGTGCTTCCAAACCTGGCTTCACCTTTCATGTGTATAGCGATCTATGTGTGTTGATAAGAAAAAAATATCAAAACTGTTTTTTTTTCGGCCTAGGTCTTGGTGTGACACCTGTTGATGGACATACATATTTTACTTGTTTTTTAATTTTGTGGTGGAAAGATTTCCGAGGGGATTTCAAAATTAATTTAGATAGTTGACGGTAAGCTAAATATTCTGAAAAAAAAAAATTCAAAAATTTTAGTTGGAACTAGTATGTCATAGTTGCCTGAAATTGTATAATATAGTATTGTAGCTCTTATAGTTATGTATCCTGTCCAAGATGATTATAGTTTATTTCTATGTTTATATATTTTAAACAATAATATTCAATAAGTCCAATATACATACTTGTATATTTCAAATATTCATATTTGATGATTAATTATTATTTTTATATTATTGCGCTGGTATATATTATATTAGTTGGTACCTCGATTCCTCTTGAAAACAATTTATTTTAATAATTCAAGGTATTAACTACAGGTATATTATATATATATATATATATATTATTTTTCAATTATAAACTTTTTATGCTATCTATTTACGCTGTATATTGAAGACTATACTTATACATTTCTACCATCATTAAAAATATATGTAAATTTATGTAATTTGTTCATGTTTATTACTGCAGTGAAGAATGTATGCATAAATCAATTAAAAAAGGACACCGATTAGAAAGTCCAATAATTTTTTTCATAAGATCAAAGCAGGAATTACTAAATTGAATTATAATAAAAAAAATATTAAACTATTATTCACTAATAATCACCCGCTGTTTTCATTTTATTAGGAGTGAATTCGTATTAGAATATGTTGTAGGTCCTGCAATTATTTTATAATTATTGAACGTAACTTTACTTTTACTTAATAGTTCTGAAAAATTATATTGTCGTTCGTTTATTATTTTTTTAATCATAACGAGGTAATTTGTTTTATTGTCTTCTATAAACAATAGAAACAAAAAGTATTGTTCTCAAGAAAAATTATTGCTTACTAGTATATATAATGTTGTTATATTCATTTCACCGCCCAAAATAATTGAGTTTCGTGGAGATCACTGCGGCGTATGCTGGCAATGTATTATACTGAAAATGGTAAAATATACGCAGGTTTTATAACGCCCTCGTCGAAATAGTCGGCGGAAATTCGTAATCATTGTTATCAATTAAATAGGTAGGTACCCACATTTTCAAACGATAGTTTAGCGAATTAGTTGGGTGTAAAATATGTGTACATCATTGAGATTGTTGAATTTCGCTGGAAATATTTATTTTAGCTACTTATTTGACATAGCCACCCACATATGGGCAACGTTTTAAATTTCTCGAAGATGAGCAACATTATATCATCGTCATCGTTATTAGTGGTTCGTATTGTGCTCGACTACGTTTTTTTTTTTTATAGCCAACCCATCACGGACACGTGGCAGTAAAATAATGAATTTTAGTATTTCGTTTTTTTTTTCATTTTAGAATGACGATTTGCCCCGTGTTTGCGGATGTTTACCAGAGATACATCTGAGTGCAGACTAAAATCTCAAAAACGCCGTAAGAAAATAAATACGAAATTCAGAGTGCGCTTACTAATAAGACTCAATGACTATTGCTAAAAGTGACTAACGCCTAATTGATATTGCAGCCTTTGCGGGGTACAAGTGATCTTGGTACATGGGTCTTTGGTCCTCGGTTAGTACGCGCATTGCATTGCTATTTTTTATTATTATTTTAATAATGTTTATAATCTCGATGTTCATAGCCTCACACACTCTGCACGCATGCTGCATGGTCCGTCAACCTCGGCACAAACAACGCCACCTCCATCTCAGTGGCAACTGAAACAACAACAACAACAACAACAACAACAACAACAACAACAGTAGCAGCATCAGCAACAACAATCGCAACAGTATATGAAACTGTACTCCGCAAGTATGAAATTTTATAAAATATTCCAACTCATAACATATTCTTTTGTTGTTCTTTCTAGGAGGTTATCCCTATAATAATATATTTTGTGACACATTTGTAAAATTAAATTATGTTTGATTCGAATTTCGGCAGTATACCAAACGCAAAATGAATTCATATTTTTCTTTTTTTCATTATGCCGCCTTTAATATTGAAATCTGTAACCCGTCCTTGTTATAAATAATTGTAGTATACTGCTTAGCTCAACCAATTTGTAATTCATTTTTTATAAATAGATATACGTATGATGTGCAATCTGTGAACATTTGAACAATCAAATCCCCACCTGTACAGTGTACAAGTCCCAATATCTATATATATTTCCTTGAAAAAACAACATTATTTTGATTGAAAAATATTTTTCGTATGATCATACAATTATGATCATTGTTTATGACAGACAGAGCAAGCCACCAAAGGCGTATTGAATTCGTACTGCCATCGTCGTAAGGTGCGTTTCGCCAGCACGGCCACTTTCGAATCTTAAAATCAAAACATGACAGTATTATGTACTTTATTTTGTACGACCGAAAAAAGTTCAAAAAAAGTTAACACTTAATATACAATACAGTAAATAGTAAATACTAAATGCTAAAATAATATATTATGAATTAGGTATATTTTAATAAGTTATACAATTATATTTAATTGATGATATACCTACTAAAATAGTAAAATAGAAAGATAACCATGAGATTTGACTACAAATAACAAAATAATTATATTATATTGCATTCATTAATAATATTACTTTAATTATTTGTAAATGACCACAAGAGTAAACTCAACAAAATTTACTGCACAAAAATACAGATTAGGTTTATTATTAATTATTGTACTATAGAGTATAATATAGACAATAGTCGAACACTTTAACACTAAGCAGCTATATACTTATAATATGACAACATACGTACTATAAGGAAAGTATAGGCTATAAGTCTATATGCAATGCAAGGTCATACTAATATTATACTTCCAGTGGATGAAAAAAAAAATGTGTGACAATACCTGCAGGACAAGCAAATTTTATGAACATATTATATTTGTATGTGTTGTCCACATATTATTAAGTGATGACATCAATTTTAACTTTGAATTTGCTAGAAAGCTCAATATTACATCATATTTTATGTTTATTAACACATGAGTCAACACATGAGTAATAGCAAACACAATCAAATATAATACTGGTGATATTGCAAAACTACATACAAGTAGGTAGGTACTTATTTTTTGTAGCTTACGCCCTGCACCACGTGGGTTACGGAGCTAATAAGATGTATAACAATAAGTTCTAAACCAGTACAAAAGTTTGGCGGGATGTACCGCGAACGAATCGATTTCTAACTTACTCGTTTACACCCGTTACGAGTCTGTTACAGCGGCTATATTACTTATTAGTGCCTAGTGCACTTTTATATCGTTAGTTACTCGTCGATGGCTCAGACGGAATAAGTTTTTGAAATCGTGTACAGTAGTGACGGTTGGGAGGAGGATAGAGTTGGCGAGAAGCTTGAATTTGAAAAATTATACGTCTAAAGTACGATGTCCTATGATGTTTCGGGGTTAAGAGGAGACACAAGTGGAGCACACGGAGTTCGAGATTACCACGTATTATACCGGTAATACGAGGTCTATAACCATTAACCACCGTGTGTGTGCACGGAGCGTTTAAATGAAATGAAGCGTAAGAATTTCGATAAATCGTTTCAGAGTTCTGATTCGTGACATTATCGGAATCGGCTACCTTGTATGTTTGCAATTAAAACGTGTTCCACGCAGCAATGTATAGATTTCACTGCGAATTCATCGGTTAATTCAACACCAAAATAATTAATCAAATCTATAAGATCTGATTACGTGACCACAACACAATTTTACTAATGTGATGGGCAAATTTAAGTTTCTAATAAAAAAAACTGTACAAATGTGTTTAATGGGGAGCGCGTAGACCGTAAAGTATTTCACCGCTGTTGCAGTAATGATATTATAGTAACCAATTACTGTTCACGCTCCTCGGGAAATGTTATTACCTATCCGATATGTTAATTAATATCAAGACTATAAGAGCAGGTAAAATAATATTGTTTGTTCTGATACATTGTAATTTGAATAGGCATTTAATAGCGATGAGTATATTTATTTAAATCAGGTTTTTTAAACTCAGCGTCAACTTGAAAATTAATTCGACGCAATATTTTTCTACCGTCAGCAGACATTAGTTCAAAAATAAAATTATCTAGATAGCGCACAACACTGCAGTTATAACCAAATAAAATGTTAATATTATATCGAAATTTGAATTTTTTTTATAAAATATAACAGTATAAGAACTTATTACTTTTTATAGTTAGTACTATAACCGAATTGTATACAGTGGTGATTCGGTATGATTTGGACGTACCCAATTTTCCCCAAATCTACAAATGACAGACTTTAAGTTTTATACTTGAACAGTGTAACTAAAAAATATAAATAAGACTTTAAAAAATGACTATCGTGAATAAATTTAAAAAATCTAGATACGACGACTATAAAAAGTCTTGTTGCCGTTGTCAACGATGGGGGCTTCCTCGACAGAACGACAACTGCCACCTGTAAAAGTTAGCAAAATCGAATGCTTTTCACAGTCTTTGCAGGCGAATCTGACGTGCTGCACTTAAGTTCTATTAGTTATTTCTTATATATTTAAGAAAACCAATGTTAAATAAACAAATTATAGTAAAAAGTATATCTAAGTAAAATAAAAACTAACACAAAAATTTTTTTATAAGTTTTAAGCGTTTGATGTTTTTTTTTCTTATGATAAAAAAAAAATACAGAAAGTACCATGTAATATTATATTTTTAAACTGATCTTGATTAGTTATGGTAGGTATGACAATTGACATGAATAGGTACTATATTATTATATTTACAAAAACCACCTCAGCCAAAAAGTAACCAAAAGTAACGATTTTAGTGATTTTATTGTAACCCGTAAGTCATAAAACATTATTCGTAAGTTGTAGGTGTTTGAAACTTTTCACCATTACCTGTGTATGTTAACTATTATTTACAAATGTACAGTACACAATGACATTTTAAAAATGTTTTAATTAATGGTTGCCAACACGACGAATCTGTTTACGGCATCTTAAGGTATTAAGTCACAGGTGCGTCAATAACACCGCAAAATAAACTTTACATAATGCAGTATCTCATCCATAAAGGTATTATTATAGGTATTATTATATTATATTTATATTATATTTATATTATTTTTATTATAACCATACACACTTATGTGAATTAAAATTGTATACAAATGTTATTACACAATATTGTATTCGTTGTGTCATTATTTTGCATTAACTGAAAATTAAGTTTAAACCCGTTGCCTGGCTAGGTCGGACCATTCTTAGATAACAGGTTAAGTGTAGGCACATGCTGCAAATCATCTCAGCTAAGATTACTAATGATGAACTCATGAGGCTAGAGTTTCCAGATGGCGTACACATTGTTTGCTTCGCCGATGACGCGGCTATAATAGCCACGGGTCACACAACCTGGTTGCTGGAGAGGGCTATGAACGACTCGCTGGATATGGTGGCGCAATGGATGCGTAATCAAGGACTGACCATATCCAGCAGTAAATCAGCTGCTGTCATGTTGACTACAAAGAGAGCCTACGTAATACCGTCGTTCAGGATCAGTGGCACAGCTATAGAGATGAAGAGCACCGTCAGATACTTGGGCATCGAGTTGAGCTCGGTGCTCGGCTTCAGGAAGCACGTGGAGGAGGCAAGCAACAAAGCCATGAAAACCGCCTCGGCTCTATCACGCTTGATGCCCAATGTAGGAGGGCCATCACCAAACAAGAGGATGCTGTTGACCTCAGTGGTACACTCTCAGCTGCTATACGCAGCCCCAATATGGCACGGTGCACTTATCTATGATAGGAACAAGAAAACCTTGGCTGCTCCCCAGAGAAAAATGGCGTTAAGAGTCTGTAGCGCCTACAGGACGGTGTCGACTGAAGCAGCGTCAGTCGTGGCTGGGATCTTGCCTATCCATCTGATGGCACTGGAAAGAGCGCTGGTGAAACGTGCAAGGGAAAATGGCACACCAGCAGATATTGCCAAAAGCGAATCTCGTAGTTGCGTGGAAGATAGATGGCAAAATGAGTGGGATACTGCGGAAAACGGTCGGTGGACCCATCGCATAATTCCAATGATCAAGCCATGGCTACACAGGAAACATGGAAAAATTGGATACCACCTGACGCAAGCATTAACAGGCCATGGATGCTTCAATTCGTACCTGAAGCGCTTCAACAAGAGGGAGGACTCGGTGTGTTTCTACTGTCAACACCCTACAGACGATACGGAGCACACCATATTCCAGTGTGACCGGTGGTGGAGGCTGCGCAGGGAGCTGGAGGTTGCCGTCAGATCGACATTCGAGCCGGAAACCATGGTGGCGATTATGCTGAGCTCCAATTCTAGATGGAAGAAAGTCGAGAGGTTTGTGATTGGCGTGTTGTCAAAAAAAGAAGAAGACGAACGGGAACTGCAAGCCGGAAATATAATCAATTAGTTAAATTAGTTAAGTGAAGTAATGTGGCCGAAGGCAAATTTGGAGGGTAGGGCCTCCTAACATTGTAATAGCTTTAATATTGTAATAGTAGGTGCGAGGGAGATTGGCCCTCCATCGCTAAAATTAAGTTGTATGTCATTTTCAAATAAATGATGGTCAACAGGGGCAAGTAGTGTGTCGCGCAAGCTAACAGTTCGCCCCTGTTGATCGGTTTAATAAAAATAAAAAATAAAAATAAAAAAAAAGCTAAGATTACTAGGTAAATTGCAGTGCCTACCTGTACATACCTACATTGTGAAATATTATTTTACCAACAAAATAAGAGGTATCTCCATTGTACATACTGCTTCATTCTCCTGCAAGACAAGCTACATGCATGAAAACATACTGTGTTTTTCCAAGTATTCGACGATATTATGGTGGAAAAGACATTCTGAAGACATTTCTAGCGGAGTTACGATGATGTTCTTCCTTAGCAAGAAAAAAAACAGAATTATGCAATCATAACGAATACGAAATGGCCTCAATTTTGAAAACTTGGCACTTACTGCCTGCTGTTCCACTGGGAGGGCAATATTATTGTTTCGGCCAAATCAATAACAATTAAATAATCACATTGACAGCTGATACGTTTACCAACTGAGCCGTAAGCTCGTATCCGGTAAACGGTATTCTGGAACGCGGTATACAATGATACACGTGTACTACTGTACTCTGTCCGGCGAGAGAACACGTCGATTATGCTCAACGCCAAGCGACACCCTGTCGTCCAGGCTTGTCACGGTCTGGCCGTGCCGCGTTCTGTCGCCGGACAGAGTAAGTAAATATTGCTAAAAAATTGCTTAGCCGGGGTCAACGTCCTACCACGTGTTTGCCAACGTAAATCGCACGCGACAGACGACGGAGCGATAAAAGGACCTATACGCGGTAGTGCGGAACTGAAATATAATAACAACAATGTAAAAAACGTTTGTGCAATATTATAAAATAGAGGTAGGCACTTAAAGCTACGTAGAGTGAAGGAACACTATCCACTCAGAATCATTTTTCGTATATTATTGATCTACACATTGCGGGCCGCAGGTAATGACGAGACAACTGTTTTTTAACTGTACACAACCAATGTTTCATTTTGTTTGCCGTAAATAATAAATAAACACATGTTAGCTGGAGGCACAATCGTTGTATACACACCAACAGTTATGCGGCACAGCGACTTCCCCGGTTTTTATTTCACATTGTGTGCCCTCAAATCAGAAATATGTACCTATTTTGTTTTCATAGACACACATTGCGCTGAAGCTATGTTTGAAAATATCAAAAACAAATTACTGTCACACCAATAAAATTAACATAATTAATATTAGTCTTTACATGAAGTGAAAACTGAAAACCTGCTAAACATTATCCAACTTATCCAACTGATTCTTGCAAAAACGCCAAAAACTCTATGAAAAAATACAGTTTTAAAATTGACAATCCTAATAGCACATAATATTATTTAAATTTAAAAAGCTAGCAATGTTTTATACCATCGACCAAACATAATATTAAATATTTTATGTTCTGATTTAAGTTTATCTTAATGATTTTTACGCATCAACTATGAATACAATGACAAACGGTTCTAAGACACAGGCAACTAGTGGTAAAATGATAAGTATAATATAATATGATTTGATTACAATCATACTAACTATTAAGCACTTAGGTATATAACTAACGAAACAATGAGATTTATTTATACAAAGTATTTGTTGAAAATTGTCATGTTTAGAACCTAAACTTTTGATTATGAGTCTCTTACATTAAATTATGAACTCCTCAGTGGCTTTGTTACTATATGTTTATTAGTAAAAACTGAATTTACATATTCTAATATAATAACTAATAAGTAATAAATAATAACAATATACTATAATTTAGGTTTATCAATATGAAATAATATACTTTTAAAGACCCTAGATATTTTAAAGCTATATTTAAATCTACTTTAGGCCCTAAAGTTTGGGGTATGATGGTGTTCCATAATTTAGATCCATTACTCAAATTCAGATTTCAAGTCAGAAACACTTCCTGAAATTCTTAGTTAATGATTTTTTAAATAAATCTCCTCTTGGAACTCCATAATTACGATTCAATTCGTAGAAAACTCGACTTGTCCAAGTTATTAAGGTTTTAGATATTAATATTATTATAACACAACATTTCTTAAAGAAAAGTACAAATTATTATTTAAACATTAATTATAATTCATATACGAATGAAATACAACTATATTAAATTAAAAAAATTAGATATTCCAAATATATTTTTGTAGATAATATTGATTTTATTATTAGACTAAACATTTTTTAACTTAAATAAACATCAGACAATTCTAAAATTGGATAATTTGATTTATTAAAATTTTAGCAACTTTGGGTTCTGAAAAATATTTAATTAGATTTGTTATTAAAAAAAAAAATGATGATAATAAGAAATATATAAAGTATAATTAAATATAAGTAAATATATTTTCCAATTCGTCTTTCAACACTTATTTCTTACTGCTTTTATCCTTGTCATTTTTTTGATCTTTATCTTTGGAATCCTTACTGACAAGACCAACAGCTTGGCGTACAGCATCACTTTGCGAGTCAACGCCAGGTAAATTTTCCAATACGCTCTGAATAAATTCGGGATCAATCACTTCTGAATAGTCTTCTTCTACTTCCATAGCTTCCTCTTTAGATTTGGCAGTTGATGAAGATGCCTTTTCTTCAGCTGCTGAATCCTGCATGGACATTTGCATAGCAAATGCTATCTGCTCTTCTTCAGACATATTATTGAAATCCACTTGAGATGCAGCTGTAGCAGAAGGTCCAGAAGCTGATGTGCCAGGTCCTTCCTGTACAACCATTGGCTCATCTTCACCAGTTTCCATTGACATAGCCAAAGCACGTTCCAACATTGCTTCTTCAGTTGGAGCTGTAATAATTTTAAGATAATATTATGTAAAATACCAAAATGGTGATAAAACAAATAAATGATGTCATCAGAATATAAAATCAAGGTTTAACTTAAGTTGTAATTACTATCGACATATGTTACAATTACTTGGGTTCCCAGTTACTAGTAAATTATTTAGAAGGACGCCACTATCACATGTACAGATCTTACAAACGTCCGACATAGCAAAGGTATGTTCAGTAGTTCCAATTTTATACAATGACCTTAATCAATAAAGCGAATTGACATATTATCAAACTTAAACGTATGAACATGATCTGTGTTTTCACATGGGTTTTTTTACAATATTTTTATTTTTAACCTAGTTATGGAAATATTAAATTTTTATATTTTGCATACTCATATCTTGCTTAAAAATTAAAATTTAATAAAAAAACCCCATATAAAAGCAGATACTATCCTTAACTTTAAATTGGAACTACTGAACACAAATTTGTGATGTGCACATTTTAAGACAGAGACAACACGTGTAGATGTCCTCTTAATATATTATAAGTATCAATTAATATTTAAATAACTTAGAGGACTAAAAAAATTTACTTAACTATGTTAACCTATATATAATTGAACCATATTTTGTACTTACATTTTCATGTTTTAAAAAAGATAATAAATAAACTCTCAAAAGGGTTAAATTATAATAGATTTAAGATTTGATTTAAAATTGAAATTTATCATATTCACAAGATGTTAATATACGCAAAGAGGATGTCAACCTCTTTCTCCTCGGGTTGTCTCAGTATTACAACATAACAAATCAATGTACTTGCCTTACTATAAGAACTTACTCATAAGAATTTTTGGAGAATATAAACTTTACTTGAGTAGTTTTGTTTTATGTTTATTATTTTTATTTTCAAATTAATCATAAAATCATAAGTATTCAGTATTTACTATTTTAAATGAATACACCAAAAATTATTTTTCTAATCGCACTTACAATGTATTAGTAATTATTAATTTGAAATTAGTATTCTAGTGTCACAAATATTGTATTATACTATTAATATTGTGATAAGTTATCACTGATAACCATTATTGTGGTATAAAGTTGGAAGTTAAATACCAATAAATCCTTTAGTTTTTTCTTAACATAATATCTATGAAAAAAAATTTTCAGTAAATTTACTTACTTTCATTAATAGTTTCTGGACGAGCAGTTGAAGTTTCAGCTCCAGCAGATGAGGCTTGACCTCGGCGAGCTTCTTGCTCTTGTCTAGCTCTTTGTTCTTCCATAGAAACACGCAAAGCCTTAAAAAAAATCACATTAGATTGAATATTCTTTTTTTAAGAGTTCACTTATTTAAAACTAACTAAAGCTAATTCAGGATCTTCATTAGGATCAACTCCAAATTCATATCCTGTTCCTCCAAGACCAGCTCCTCCAGCACCATCTTCTCCTTGAATAACTGGAGATGAAACTAATGCTTCAGAAAAATGTGAGCCCGGTGGAACAGCAATAAGATGACTGCCACCACCACCATCTTTACCATTTAATGTATTAACAAATGCAGTTAATACATCAGAATTTTCAGCCTAAAAATGAATAATACTTTAAAATGTTATATAATTATATAGTTGAATTAAATTTTATTTTTACCTCTTCGCCAAAAGAAACAACATCCACATTAACCTTTTCTTTCTTGAGTCTTTTAGCTAACTTAATAATTTCTTTTTCATCCAAACCCACTGGACTGCCAATAAATGCAATTATACGCATTTTATGATTTTTTCCTTGACGGTGCTTCAACGCTAACTGTAATATTTCAAAAATAAGATTTAAGATTTGATATTTTAGTTAAATTGTTTATTATATTGACGATTAAAGTTTATATTAGAGTGAAGTAACTATTCCTCATTTTTTCTGAATTTTAGAGCTATACTTTTTATTTTTTATTTTAGAAACTATTAAATTATACATGTTATTATGTATTTAAATATTAGTAATAACTAATTTATGTTTCTAATAATTGAAAATCTATAGTTGGTGTTTAATTTAATTATGTAATAACAACGGTATAATGTAGATTGTAGAATTTATGGACTGTTTTTAATTTAGGTGCCTAATGTCCGGAGTGCCGCCAGTGTGCGGCTTCTCCACTCAAGTCCCTCTGTAATATTTTGTCTTCTTTCTAACCATCTATTATGCTTATTATACTAAATATTGTATAGATTGTATAAGTCAAATAAATAATTTAAAAAAAGGTGCGTAATGTGAAATTAATCTGCTTGAATTTAATAGTTCAAAAAGGTAAAAGTGTCACTCATATCTATGAGCGATGAGTTAATTAGCTACATATCTATGTAACAGTATAAACTTTATATCATAAGAATTATAAATTACATGAGCAATTCTAATGCCAGTAGGAAAATTTATGACACCATTGGGTTGTACTTGATGCAATTTTGATAGAATCCGACCAACATCAGCTGTTAAAGTAGCCAATACACGAACACTAAAAAAAAAAATAAAATGAACCAAGCATTAAATTTAATGTGTTATTTTAATAATATAGTAATTCATACTTGGCTAAAGTTAAAAGGCCAACATTGTTCTCGGGATTTGCACGAGTCTTAGAAAGACATACTAGATTAACAGCATCTTGTTGCGCTTGTAGACGAGTAGGTACAAAATCACCATTGCGCATATAGTCGCTGTTATCAACACTAAAAACAAATATATTATAAGTCAATTTATAATTGTAAAAAATAAAAATATTTAAATATAATTTGAGACACTTAGCTTATGAAAATAATTAATTATTTAGGTAAATTGAATAGTTTCATTTTGCTTGTATAATGTTAGTTAACTATTTAACTTACAGTATGTAATTAAACAAACAAATAAAATACTTTTAAACCATATAAAAATGTTTTAAGGAAAATAATAAAGATTACTGTTTAGGTAGATATTGCTCTTGTAGTACTATACTAAAATATTATGTATGCATTTATATATCGGGCTGTATACTTAATACATATTATGATTAAATGATTAATTATGGAACACAGAATTAAGTTTAAAAAAAGGGACAAAAATGTGTCAGAATGTGTTATGTAGTTGTTGCATTAACTGTTGGTAGTTTGGTACCTATTGTCAGCATAAAAAATATGAGACCTGAAAATGAACGAACTTTACCAGAAAACGAATATCATTGTGCCTACTTACCATATCATAGTACTTTCGAGAACCATAATGAATGTCTGTTGATTTTAAAGAAACACTGAAATGAAAAACTCTGAACACTAAACGGTGAAGAGAGTGAATTTTATAGTTATGCCTTATGATTATTGTTCCAAACAAATTGCAAACTCATCGAAGTGATATCCGAGGCTTGATCAGATATCCCGAAACGTGATAACAGCAATTCGGTTTTTGAGAACTCAGTGAAGCCAACGTTAAGATCCAAAAATCCCATTTAAATATTTATATATTCAGTTTATTGGTACACTGAATGATAGCCACTATTAAAATTTGAATTGATTTATTGATTTTTAACACTTTTGCCGACTGCTTTATACATGATTGGATGACTGTAATACATTTCGTTTAAAACGGAATTGTCCCTGTCTTGAGCTTTATGTCCCCTTGTCTAAACATATTTCAAACGGGAAATATTACTATTCACGATTTATGTTTTATTTAAAAGAGGATGTTAGCACAATATTTGTTTTTTCTTTCAGACCCACGCGTAACATGGATAAGTAAAATGCGTATAAAAAGCATTTACGTAAAATTGTTTTTCATGATTTTTTAATAATCTCAGAATAAAAACACTTATTACAAAAATTATAGAGGTTAATATTTTTGAGGATTTGGTATATTTCATATTTTATTTTTATTTTATTTTGTATTTGACTTTAAAAATAAAAAAAATGCTTGTAAATTTAAGTGGATATTGAATGTTCTGAGACAATATTTATACAAATTGATATGTCATACTCTCAAAAATATTGTTCCCTAAAATTTTTGTAATTTGGGATTTTGCTTTAAGATTACTCAAAAACATAAAAAAAGACGATTTCGCATGAATGTGTCTTACTGTCTATGTTGCACTTGGGCCAGAGAGATAAGACAAATAGTGCGCCGACATCTTCTTAAATCATGATCATTACACGCAATTAAAATAAAATGTGTTAAAATTCAGTCATTAACAAAGTAAAACAATATTAATTTACAATAGGTAAAATAGAATGTGCAAAATATTGGCCCATTAGTCAACATAATAATATAATCACGTCATGTTCCATAAGTTGACCATAACCTAAGAACTCTTCCACAGTTCTATAAGTGCTCTTCATAGTTCATCCCGGCATCTCGCCATATTAAGTACCTTTAAATCAAAAGTCATGCTTAACTACTATTTAATAAATTACTTATGGTAACCTTTTTTCAAACTACCATGAACCGTGGTTTTGACACAAATTATACTTACAGTATAATTAGTAAATAATATTATGAATATTTATTTTTATTTTTCGATAAACTATTTTATAAATCATTACTTGATTCATTAGGTACAAAACAAAGACCATGTATGTACTTACAACTTCACAAAAACAAATTGCAATATGTACATTTCATTAAAAATAAAATATACAATATATACTTACTTAAAAAAATGATTTAGTCTTATGCATGTATTCGCTGAATATACACCGAAGACAATATGTGTAGGTATAGGTATACAACATATTTACTAGATGGTCTAGATGACATACATTTTGGACACCAAAATATGGTCAGTAAAACTATTGATTAATAAATTACCAATTTAATTTCGTCTAACTATATATACATATTGATATTGACATATTGTCAAACGTATAAATATGTGACCTGATTAATTTGGTGCCTGCAACTGAATACTTTGTCGAAGGTTTATCATCTCCTTGATTAAATACTCGCACTAATGCTATTCTCGGTATAATTAATATATTAATTATGTAGGTACATTTAAAACTGATCAAATTAAAGTCGAATCAACCAATGCATACGCCAATATTATTACTGGTGATGTCGGACCTATATAATATTATATGCGTCGCGTAGCTCTATATATACGTGTAGCTCTTTTCAAATTGCTCCACAGGCATCGAAAGTGCTAACTCGCCTGTACGTCAACACGAAAATGTAATTAAGACCAGCCCTCCGCCCGTGCCTTGTCACTGCAACTGCCTCTTTCCCGGAGACCTCTCACACGAGTGAACCGAAATCTTTACATAGTTGTCTTGTACTTTCCGAATCGCTAATAACAAAAACTTGGGCACCGGAACTAATTACATTACCGACTCAGGCCAATCCTATTATAATACACCGTCAAAAGTCAAACTCCCGGTCGTGTAATGGATGACGGTACAAAAAATATATAATAATAATAATAATAATAATAATACCAAATCGGCAGAAACCACACCTAAAAGATATTAAATTGTTTATTCATCACACACACACTAATAAGTATAATAGGTAGCTACATAAATCGTATTATTTTATGAAATTATACATTTCATTATTCTTGACTTCTTTTTTAATTATATTTTGAACAACGTAAAATTAATGAAAAAAAAAAATTAAATAAAAATTATTAAGGTACTATATAATAAAATAAAAATATAAAATGCAGTGATGAGTCATAAAAAAAAATCACATTGGTACAGTGCAAAGGTCTACATCGCTTAACAAATACTTAATATGAGGCTATACAGGGTCTGAGACAAAAGTTGAGTAAGGGATTGACATGATTGTCGTTGCTCATCTACTAGGTTAGGTAAAATGTAAGTGAATGAAAATGTTTTTTAATATAGATGAGATATTAATGAACAAAATATACAGCATGTTTAAAAATGTCTGATAGCTTAATGTGGTGTAAAATATGTACCTACTTCAATCATTATAAAAATACGAATAGTATCTTTGTGTTTTTACCGAATAGTTTACTGATTATGTCGTCTCTTACGTTGCCCATCTGAACAATAAGCATAAAATCTTAAATAAATTATGCAAGATATTAAGATGATATAATAAGTTACATAAATAATAACAGAATGAGAAAAAGTAAAAAATATTTAAACGCGACCATCCAATTCAATCCAATACAGCAGCGTTTCCCAAAGTGTGTTCAGAGGAACCTTAGGGTTCCGTGGGACAATGTCAAGGGTTCCGCCAGATGTATGTGATTATTGAGAAAATTATGTTTATTTAATGTTTGTTATTTAAAAAAAAAAAAAAATTTTTGGTTGAAAATTTTTTTTTAAACTAAGTTTAATAATGAAAACTGAAAAGTCATTAACAGTATCGTAAAAATATTATTTAGACTTGAGAGTTTAGAGAATTGGTTTTCCTTTTTTTATTTAGAAAAATTGTAGTTGAGTTGGATTAGACAAGACAGGGTTCCGCGAAACACAAACAATTTTTTAAAGGTGCCGTGGTCGTAAAAGTTTGGCAACCACTGTAATACAGTAATAAGCCCCTATTAGCAGTAAATTGTTACAATAATTAGATAAAAAAAAAAAATGAATAAAACATCATTGGTTTGTTGAAGTACTTTTTTTTTTAAATAAATGTTTAGATACTTTTCGTTCTTTTCATCCTAAAAATGTACATTTATATAATTTCTAAATTTAGATACAATATTTCATGCAAAACAAATGTACTGTGTTACATAAGAAAAAATTGATGGAATACAAAAATTGTATAAAATCAATAAGTTGATATTGATTCCGATTGAAAAAAAGACAGACAAGAGGGATTCGTCCGCCTACAAATTTCCTATTCCTCGCGAGTGCAACCATGTGCAAGTCATAAAATGTAAAAAATGTTATTTAATTGAAAAACAATAATCAGGACATTATGGTTGTTTATTTTAAAAAAAGTCGATACTTGGTATACAGATACACGGTATATCAAAGTCGTATGTATCGATCAAAAGGGTTACGAAAATTGTTTATGTTTGTATCACTTGCAGATGTGCTGCCGTTATAGTAACAAACAGTTTCCCTAGTTACCTACCCGTCCTGTCAGAAAAATATACAATAATTTTTTATTTAACATACAATGTAAATAGTTTAGTTAAGATGATACAATATTATTGATATCGATACATGTTCCAGGTTCCTATTGTATTTATGACAGTTGTCATTAATATTATTATCTGTTGAACATATTCAATCTGATGGTAAGTTAAACTTTGATTATTACATAAATAAACACATTTATTGAGAACCATTCAACATCCACATGCTTTTTTATAACTAGTAGATAGGTAACAAGTGTGTTAGAAATATTATTATTATTGGAGTAGACATTGTTGATGCTACAATGATGGGTATGTAATTTTTATTTTTAGTGTTTAAAATATTACTCGTCTAGAAGTGGAAAATATAAATATAGGTATACTGTAATTAGTAATTAACATTTTAAAGTTGTAGAGTATTTTTCACAAATTATTGATTTTCTTCTACAAACATAAATTAACTATAAATAATAAGTTATAGGTTATTTTATCAGTTATCATCGATACCATAATTGAAAATTTAAAAGATCGTAATTTATTGTTGACTTTAAATATGTTTTTGTGACATCTGTTAATGTCGAAAGAAGTTGTTTTGTCTATAAAAATCCAATGTCCATACAACGTCCATAATTTTAGTTTGATTGCAATTTTAAACAGCATATTAATATATTATTATCGTCGAACAGTGCAACAGCAACACAGTTGGTGCAGATAATAATCAGCAAATAAAATAATAGTAAGTATAAATGAATTTGAAATATAAGCTACTTTTTTACTTTTTAAACTTAAAAAATACATTTTAAACGCATTTTTTAGGGCATTTAAATCATGGCCATAATTTTTTACACAATATTATAGAAATTGTCTGTCATATTTTCTTATAATTATAGTAGTATTACAGGCTATTATAGCATTATAATTTACAGTGCTCGTACAGCGCTTGCTACAGTTTCAAGCTTGAAAATATATTAATGAGTATTATATATAATTAATATTTCAAGATTAATCATCGCATAAAATAATGTCAACATCAGACCACATGATAAATTTGTATATTTGTACGTGTTATCCATATTTAATACAACAAACAACTCATCACTCACAACAACAACCCCATTACGCGTTACACTACACCTTGGAGAAATTAATTTGTGGTAACGGTGTTAAATGTACGATATCTACATTACACATATTATGTATAATTAATATAATATAATAATATGCGGTATACACATAAGTACATAACCTTTACCCGTAGGCCATGATATTAAATAGTACTCGACAATTAATTATTTAAATTATTTAAGCTGAAACTTTTATTATTCATGCAGTCTTATAATAGTCTCATAATAATATTCATATCACATTGCACATATTATAATTATTTAATTAGTTAAAAATATTTTTTTTCTTTTACTAAAATAGTAAACTGTATTTATTGTACTATAGTTTATAAAACCTAATATAAAACATTTTCAATTTAATATTTCAATCGAACTGGACTAAAAATATAAAATTAATAACTATATTCATATTGTAGTCATAACTCATACTATATAATATTGTAGCTTAACAAAGTTAATTTTTATAATTAATATATTATGTTATTGTCAGAGTAAACTCGTTATTGTACGAGATGTATGAGTACATTATTGAAATATTGTTTGCAAACAGATGACGGAAGAACCAAAAGAAAATATCGCTTTAAAATCATTAAGTGAAGAAGAATCGAACGATCAATTAGACAACACAGAGGAAAGTGCAAACGTATTCAGTAAAAGTGTATTCGCAAGGTATATAAATCTGGATTCGTGTTAAATTTAATATAGAGAGAAACATAATTTATTATACTTACCTACAAATTACAATGTAATATAATATATAGTATAATATAATAGAATATATATATATAATATATATACATCATATAATATATAGGCAGGTACTATTGGGAATTGGTTCCCTTTTAAAAAAGGTATTTTATTTAGTTGAGCCGAATTGGTTCCAGTTTGTATTCAGGTCAAGTAGTTACAATTTTAATTTTTAAGCATTCTTTTGCAACGGTAAATCATATGTGTGGATATAATTGGTATAGACTAATATATAAAATATGAATGTGCCTACACTCTAAAGTATATTATATATGTATAATAAAATGACAAAAAATTGTTAATTAGCGTTGTATTAAATTTTGAAGTAATAATGTAAAGAAACTTACCACCAAACAAGAAAGAAATAACCAATATTTGGAAAACTGTATGATTGAGTACATTAATAGAAACTTAAAATGTTATATATTTTATTTTATTATTTTTATTTTGTATACCTAAGTGATGACTGATTGATTTCCAAATCAACGGTTTGAAATTTAATGTATTATAATTTTATTTATTTAACACACATAACCACGCATTTTTAATCAAACCTTCTTTTAATGTTGACAGTTCTAAGCTTGTAAAATTAAGAAGAAAAATGTGCCCAATTAAACGGTAACCAATTCGGCTTAACTAAATAATATACCTTTTTCAAACTTGATGCGGCACGTGGGGTTGGGGATTGAAAACCAATTCGGTACCTGCAGTCGTACTATATTCATTACTTTACAACGATTTGTATATTTTTAGGCATCATGTGATGCCTTATTGGATAGGTACTTTAGACTTAAGCACTTATATAACAATTTGTAATGTATGTTATTATAAATTATGTTATATATACCTATACATCATAAGAACTTCACTGTACAATTAAATTTTTTGCAGTCTCCTTGAAACTCGTGTATAAAAATATGTAATTGATTTTAAGATAAAAAATGCAGTAAAATAAAATAAATTATGTGTATAAGTTGTCAATATCTAAACGTTGGTGATTGAATAATGCTTAAAATCGGCGAATGTTCTATGTGTTATTATAATTTATATTACTCATTATTTATTTACTTTTAAATAGAAAAACCCAAATTATGGAAACCGATAGACACCCGAGTGTTTTTTAATCGATGAAATTTAATTTTCTAGATGGTTGAAACCAGCAAGTGTTAGTGAATTGAAATTCGTGTCCAAAGACGTTTTATTGATACGCGTTGAAAAAACGTTAATATTTTATGACGGCAATACGCAAAAAGAAGATATACTAATAGTAGGCAGTAAATCGACCCCGGGGGGTGGTGGTGATGCTGATCTACATTTAGAAGGTATTGGATGCGTCGATTGCTGTGATATAGATTTACTGGCCTTGGCTGAACACCCACCAATATCCAAGGTGGTCATTTGTTTGTATCCTGACCTGAAAGTGTTGGCGACGCTTGTTGGTAAGTACCTACTTAGTGTATATAATATTATAATAATTTATAAAACCTTTAATGTGATATGAGTAAAAAATCAAATATGTGATACTATAACATAATATTACACGTGCACATCACCACAGTGCGAGTCAACTAAACAAGATGGTTACGCATAGCAAAATCTTATAAGTCAAGTCGTATACAATTTTAATTAAGTGATTTCACAACAAATGTGATAAATTATTACATTTAAATATCACTGATAATTATATATCAATATTAAGATTTATAAATATATTTTTGTCCAATTAATTTATTTTCTTCTACCTATCTACGGCCTACCTGTCTAAGTATGGGTTAACTGTTGACTGTTGTATAGATAACACTTTGGAAAATGGCCAAGTAGGAAAAAAAATTAATTTCGTTTTTGAAGTTTTGTTCCGCAGCCGTTATAATATGAATGTGAGGCATGTAAGGGTATTTAATTGAAAAATAAAATCAAAGCTATATCTATGATATAATATGTGAAATGCAGTAAACCGTTTAAGTCATTATACAATACACATTGTCATATTGATTATAGTTAGGTGTATGAGTTGAGTATTTAAATTTTATTTTTTAAAGTTATATTGCAGTATTTATTATTTAGTCTCTGATAGATTTTAAATATTTATATTGAGAAATTTAGTTTTTTTTAATACTTATTCCAAGTACTTATTCCTTAAATTTTTTAACGTGTGTCAATCGTCAATCACCCATAATATTAAAGTGTTTTTCTAAATAATATTTTGGTTGTAACAAATACATTTTAAATAATTTAAAAAAAAGACAATATAGTTTGTTAAAAGTAATTTAGGTATTAGGTATTTTGGTGTTTATAAAATTAAAAAAATGTATGTGTTTGATATATACTTATAGTACCTACATTATAATATAGAGAATCATTCATTTTAACCCGAAATATACACAGTGACTTACGTTGTCAACTTTTATGATTTTGAAAAAAAAAAATATTTTGTATGGGTATTTTTTGAATAGTACCCATGTTTAAAAAACATAATGGCCACTGTGATGAAAAAGTGTTTACAAAATTATCTATAATTACACCTAATTTCATAAGAAAGTATTAGAAACTAAATACCTATCAGTTGTTTTTTTTAACCATATAAATTGTCTGTATAATATTGTGGACTGTATAGTGGTTCTAATGGATCACTCTGTACATAAGTTATAAATTTTTTATGCCGAAGGGGATCTTATTGGATTTCAGATAGTAGCTGCTCTGCACCATACAAGTCTATACTGTTTCTGAGGTTGGAATATTTAATCGGCTTGCGTGATTACCCGGCATTCGATTTGATCGTGTGGGCGTGGAGAATTGGAGAAAAACTGTTGGTCGTCGACACCGGATTCGTTCAGCCGAACCAATATCTAAAGTAAAAGCACGCTCCGTCTGCTTGGTGTGCCAAATGCCTCGAGCATAATAAACAATATATATGATATATATACTATCCAACACTGATTGGTTTTCCTCCGTATAATAATAATAATAATAATAGTGTGGCAATAATATTATAGGGTTTGGATTGGGACTATGTATTGCACTAAAAGAATATTCGAAAACATATTATTATTTATTATTCACTAAAAATTACAAAACTATACTAAATTAATCCAATTAAATACTTACCTATATTTATTTTGTATTCAAGCAAACGAATAAAAAATTATTCTAGAGTAAAAAGTAAACGCTTGTTAAAACTATTGTACCCTTTTCGCTGTAAGATTATTAATTATGATATATCTTTGGACTATGTATTTCTATAGGAAAATCTTATTTGATTTTACTTATTCTTAGAAATATTATCTGTTAGTAGTGTTTTACATAGTTTATCACGATTCAAAAGTTACTTTTTTATCGCAGATAGTAGGTGATTTTAAACACTGTTGGAAGGTACCTAAAGGAAATTATTTTTGTTATATAATGTAGAGTTATATTTTCCGAATAAATAATCAAAATACTAAAGAGTTCGATTGCGTTATTTTAAGAGTACATAAACAGTAAACATTATAAATAAATGTTAACTTACAACATGAGTGTATAGTACATTTTAAATAAATGCATTTGTCATTTGCAATTTTGAAGACTTAATCAAAATTCAAATATTAAGAATTAATTCATAAATTTCGAATTTTTTTCTAAATGCTTCACCTTAAATAGAGTTTAAAAGGTAGAACCAAGATGATATATTTATAATCTATAAATAATTGATTAAAGTCCTGTTCACATGTAAACAACTGCAGTATGCCCTATTTAATCTTTTGTGCTTCTATATATTTATTTAATAACATATTATATTTATATTTTTGATACTCACACAATATACAATTTGCATGTTAACTGATTCGAGATTCCACCCATGTAATATTTCAAAACTCTTTTAAAATTATGTAGTCAGCCCCTCCTCCCATTATACAACTCGTACGTTTACCTAAACGTATTTTAATCGTTTTATATTGTTTTTATATGACTAAAATATTTTCGATGGTTTTAATTTAGGCCACCCCAAGCTATAAAATTTAACCCCAATATTGAAATGCCGGCCGTTACATGAATAAATGTATAGCCAAATAGGATGAGTTATGTTTGTTGGTGAAAAATAGATTTAAAATTATAAATGTAACATACATCATTTTTCTACCACAGCTGTACTCGTAGGTACTCTACATTAGTTATATGAAGACGTAAACTCTATAAGTATAAAAAAAAAACTAATAATCGAGTATTTTGGACCCCCCCCCCTGCCCCACATACACACGCAAAGAAGTCTTGGATAGTTGTGGGCCCGAAGTCTTCACACGAATTCTATTTTGAAATCGATTCTGTATGGGCGCGTAATCGAATTAAATCGAATTCATAATAATAATATATGCGTCATATTGTTTTGTCACATAAAACGGCAGTCTGTCGGCGATCACCGCAGCGACGGGTCGAAACGACGTGTACCTGAGCCAGACGGAACACGACGTCGGGTGTAAGCTTCAGCTGTGGACGTTGTTCGTGGGCTGCAAGACGGTGTACGCGGAGAGGACTCGGGTGGAGGTGCCCTCGGACGCCTCCGCGTCGGGCTGCTGGACGCCGTACGGGTGGTACGTGTTCTGCGACTCGTTGGCGAACGTCTATCGAGTGCAGCCAGGCGCACCGGAACCGGAAATGGTCGTGACGACGGCGGATCCGGTGTCGGCGAAACGCGGAAGCGGCGGCGGCGGCGGAGGCCCGGGCGCGTTGGTGTGCCCCAGCAAACAAGGCTTCGTGCTGTACGCGGTCAACCAGGACAATCGTCTAACGGTGATGATGATGATGATTATCGATATTGTTATTTTTATTATTGTTGTGATTGTTATTGTAACGATTACACCCTTATGGTACGTATTGTGTGGGTGCGACGCGGTAAAGAGATTTGTCTGCGTGTATAAGCAGTATAGGTAATAGGTATACTGTAAATTATGATGTTTAAATGACTGCGAGATGATGTTTTAGCAGTTCGATCGTGGCTCGTACAAGAGGTGTATGTCGTGGGCAACGATTGTGTTCACGCTAATAGAGTCAATATAATATTATGTATGAATGAAATGAGGGACCCGAAAAAAGGTTTTGCTTTTAACCTACTATACTTACTGTCAGTTAACACTTAACACCTACATTTTTGTAAATTCTGGTTATTCGCAAGAAATATCGGTTTTTGATAACTGGAATACCAAAATATAACAAATGACGAATGCATGTACTAAATGTTTTCTTTGAAAATTAATTAAAAACAAAACGGTGTCAAAAAGACAAGTACTTATAAATATTACATTTTTAGTTGGTAAAAATATTAATAAATAAAAACCCACTAATTACCACCCAACTGTATTTTATTATTTTTAATTTATTGACATAGGCATTATAGCCTATACCGCGAATGGTATTTTATTATCATAATATTTATATGTAATTTAATGTTTGTTTTACATCCATAAGTTAATTGATGACTCCATTGTCTATGATATTATTTGGATAGCCAATTATTGTCGAGACGTTGAGTTGTGAAATTAGGTTCAGGTTTCTTTACTTAGGGCCATATAATCACCATCAACCTGACGATGAATACAAAAAATACGTCATCGCGGTGTAAACGAAAAACAGTCGAACTGGAAAAAAATTTCTTGCAATAATAATAAGATATGTAATGTTACATAATACATGTATATCATATAAAAACCTTACGATATTTTCAAAAGATTTAATCTCCGGATTGTTTGCTTCAATGACAAGACCGTTAATATTTTATCCCATTAATGCAATGTTATGATATTACATCATGTCGAGCTGGGAGCGATGACCTCTTGGGGGATTTCGTATATTTTTTAGCATAACAATATTACTGTTGCTAAATTGCATTTTTTGTTGATTATCATCATTGCATTTCTATATAAACCTGTGCCGGAATAAAAGAAAAATTAAAATTATCAGCGGCGTATATAGGTACAGGGGTGTCTTGGAGGTATGAATATATAATAGAGTGACAACCCTCACTGACCGTACAATATCATTAAAATTATTTTATTTCGTAATATTCACATCGCACCAGCAACGCTTATTAAAATATCATTAATCATAATATACATATATATATATATATATAATAAAAATTATATTGTTCAGTTAACTTCGATAACTTCAATATTGCTTGGAGTATACAAAAACATGTCAAATCTACAGTGTATTATCGGAAATCTATCATGCACACGATTTCTCAATAATAAGTACCTACGCAATGCATACTCAATATAATATTATGTCCCAGATAATATAAATAAGAAACAAAATCCCTCCTCGAAGAACTCTCGGATACGACACTTTTTACTCTTGTATTATATAATATATTGTCTACAACCCGCAGTGTTTCAAGGACACCAGAGGTATTTTCACAAAAATATGGACCATAGTCGTTGACTGTGTATTGCAACGTATGGTAGCTGTAAAAAACGACGTCTACGGCTGGTCGGACGAGGTACAAATAACACCATCACATAATATAATAATAATAATATAGCGACATGCGCAACTAACCGATATCGGAAAGTCAATAGACATTTTATATTTTTGACCACGCAGGGAACACTGTTACAACTGACACAGAAAAAACAAAAAATATTGAAAGTGTACGGATCAAAAATCAAATATTTTACGTTTATCAAACCGGCGGACGAAACGGTGGCCACCATAGACCATGCAAACATTTTGCAAGTGTGGGATGCTTCGACCGGAGAATTTGTAAACATTTTTAATATGTACCCATTAAAGTAGGGTAGTATTCTATTAGTGTCTCTTATTGTTCTACAGAAAAGCAAGATGAAACTAAATGGAATCGCAACGGATTTGTGTAGTAATCCATGTTACGGCTATATTGCCATTACGTTTAAAAACGGTAAAATGGAATTGTTGAGAACCGTTCCCAAAGTAAACGAAATAGAGTGCATAGCAAAAATAGTACTATGCGACGAAGACTTATCTTCGGTAAAATTTTTCTCTGACGGAAACATTTGTGGTGTCACTAGTTTTCCCACAGGGCGATTTTATTACATTAGTGTGAGTAAATATAAATACATTTTATATTATCATTATAATCTAATGGCATTTAATAGCTTTTAATAGTTACTAAAAACGTTAGGTATAAAATTTAAAAAAAAAAACAACTATCTGCAGTAATTATTATTGTTTTTATGTGCATTAAATTATATAATGGTGATAATAATAATTTAATATTTCAATTGTATTTGATGGTAAAATAAAAATAAAACTTACTTATTTAAAAACATCCATTAGATTACATTAGGACAGAAGTGTGCTGTATTAAGAGAACATAATTTGGAAAAATATGTTATTGATGTTGACATAATCGACAATAAAAAATCATCGTTTTTGACGGTGATATATACAGATCTAAAGAACGCTGAAAATGCTGGAAATAATATTTTAATATTTGATATACATTTTAATATAGTTTTCAAATTCAAAGATATACAAAATTATTACACATCAGTATTTAAATGGAGTTCATGTAGTGTGCCCGGCGCATTAAACATAGCTTTTACTGTCTTACAATCAAAATGTATTCACTTGATGACTGTAGATATTGTTGAGGTATGCTTCAATATTTACCTAACCTTATTATTATTAATACCGTAATGATATGTTTATGCTTAAGGAAAAAATGCTAGTGTCACAAACTATACCATTAGATCATCAATTAAAAAGCATTAAGACATATACGAACGAAAATCATTGAGTTACATTTAGTCCGGATGGTTCATATAACATTTATGAATTCGACGATGACGGTCAGTGGAAACAAATTATTATGGTAAACTGCAGTCATTGGCAAAGGGGAGGGTTGATAGCTGCTCAAGTTGATGTCGATGCCCATAACATATTAACGCTAAGTCGGCAAGGAAACTTCATGTGTACAAGTTTTGAGTAAATTTTACAATGGAAAAAATTTAAATAAAATATTTCGACTCAAATGTTATTTTATTATGACGAATTTCAGAGGCAATTTAAATCGTAATAAAAATAGCGATAAAATCAATTTTCCAATAATTGAAGATCATTTTGAAACAAAAGGAATAGGTATTGAGGATGGACCAGAATGTTAGTTTACTATTGTTAGTTATTATAATATAATATATATGGAAGCATAATTCATTGACAATTCTATTTTTCAGCACCAACACGAATGACATGGGAAATGATTAACCAACAAAATGAATTGAATGCAAGTATAGCGGCTTACAGTAACCAAAAACAACAAATCATACAAGATTTTGAAAAAATAAAAACAGAAGTAATAATGATAATAAAAATAATAAGATATATATAAGATAAGATAATCATAATATATCATTTCAGTTGATTAGGTACGTATCCAATAATTTATTAATTTATTTTGAATTTCAGCTTCAAAATTTATTAGAAACAAATGTCAATGGCCCGGATGACATGAAAATAGATATTGAAGAATTCGATTTAAATGTAGATTAAAGGCTAAGTTTCAGAGAAAAGTGTAAACTTGAACGTAAAGAGTACGAAGAAAAAATTCTTAGTGACATAAACAAGTTTAAAATGGAAACTGAAAATATTATAAAGGAAAAATGGGAAACACTTTTTATTAAACCAAAATCTATATATGTACGTATTCTGAATCAAAATTATATTAAAAACTGATTTCAAATTTAATTTTAGTGTTTAATAAATATATATAAAGTAGACAACTATCCAATAAGCATAAAAGACCAAGACATTATCAAAAAAGCAAATAAAATCATCGAAGAAAGAATATTAATCAGGGATATGTCAGAACAAGTATCCAGTGCAGAAAATCCATTTTCCAAGTAAGAAGTAAAAATATACATTTTATGCAAATGTCAAAAGCATTTTTTTTCTAGAAATAATTTTGAGACATTGGACGTTGAATCAAATTCATCGGAATCCGATTACAAGCAAAGTAATAATTTATCAATGCTGGGCTCAATTAGTTATGAGTTTGTTGAAACTATCGAAACTCTAAATTCTCAGAACAATTATTATAAATTGGAAATGGCCGAAGATGAAGTAATTTTACTCAAAGTATGTAAGGAATAAAACCATAAGAATTTCACTTGTGCTGATAAATTGTTATGACGTACTTATTCATTTTTACTTGATAACATGCTTTACATATATATTGTATTTAATTATAGTTTATGGTTAACAAATTAAAACATAAATTCAACCAATTATTTGATGATTTGTTTGCGGAAAAACAACAGCAACTGGATAATTTGAAAGAATATAATGACAGATTACGTGTGATTGAAACCGAGTTGAGATTGGCATGCAAAAGTATTTAAACTGAATAAACTTTAAGAAAAGCTCGAAAACGGTCGTGATTTCTATTATTAATTTTGTTTAGTTGAACCTACCGAACCGTTACCAGTAGATTACGAATGGAACAAATATGAACGGACAGAGGAACTTTTACACGTCAATGACGATGAAGTTCCCGTAAAACTGTATCAAAATAATGTATTATCTAGTAAAGAAGTGTCGAATGACTCGAACTCAGGCGTAGAAGAAAGAGACAGTGAAACGGTAACTCTTAACAACTATAGACAGCGGGCACTGATGATTATGATGGATGGCGTGCTGGAGAAAAGGTGGGAAGACGAATTGAAAAAAGACGTGCCAAAACCACAGTGCATGGTGAGTGTGTGTATATTTTAAGATTTTCTTAACAAATGCACTGATATTTTTCACAGGACCGTATTTAGGAGGTAATTGACCAGTATTTAGGTTTGAGGTGACGACAGCCTCAGGTGGCACTTTTTCATTTTTATACCCCCAAAAATTTTTGCAGCATTTATAATTTATTGTGAATATAATATAATGTGATTATAATGAAAAATGTATTAATTTCCGATCCATAGAAATTGTTTTCTAGCCCATAAATATTTGCTTTCATCAAATTTCACTATACCTGTCTAAGTTACTATCGATTTCTATCGAGTATTGAAATTTAGTAAACAACTATATATTATGACTTATGAGGCATTATAACGCATTCATGTAAAATTGGCAACAAAAATAAGCACCGGGAATTCGGTGTAAAAATTATACATACGTCACTGATTTTTTTTACATAGTTAAACAAAAATCCTGAGGATTTTACGGCAGACGATTTAAAGGCTATTGGTGACTATGAAAAATTAACCTCGGCTTTGAACGACGAGAGAATAAAATACAAAAATATTCTTGAAGAAGAAAAGATAAAAATTCATCATCACATCGCACAGATAATAGAACAATTTGACAATAATGTATTTAAGTTGTTTCAAATGAAATTGAAGTACAATTCAGCCATCGATCATGAGAACTTAAAAATGCTTAGACTTTCAAAAATGTTAAGCGATAGTGATCAACGAAAACACCAAATTAAACGACATAGGTAAGTACATAATATGGCTTAATTTTTTTTTTTTTTAGATATTTTATCAACATTTTAAATTTCTTTTGAAAGTGAAATCATTTTGGAGTTAAGAGAAACTATTACAAGGTTTGAACAAATTATTGCAGAAACGAATAAAAAAATAGCAAAAACCGAGCCAAATTCTTTGCTCAATACTATAGAAGCCTTAAATCACAAAAACAACATACTTAATAAACGTTTTAAGTCTGAGTTTCCATCTAAACTCATTTACGAACAAGCATTAATCGCCTACAAGTAAAAACCAAATAAAATCTTAAATAAGTTTTAAAATATTTTAAAAATAATTTATACTTGTAGCCGAAGACCTAAAATACAAGGTAATAAAAACTATTCGTCAATACTCGGTTACCAATTTGTCAACACTATAATGGATCCAACCGACGACAAGCTACATCTTTTGACCTCGGAGTTCGTTAAATACTTAGATACACTTAGGGTGTATGACGATTATAAATATGTAGATGATTATAAGCTGAATATGGACAGAGAAACTTGGCATAAGGTTTGCAATTTTAGACGAATGAAAATCGAATCAGAATTTAAGATCAGCACATGTCAAAAAGACGCAACAGACAAAGACAATTTGTTGGATAGCTTAAAGCGCGATAAAGAAGACAAGGAAGCAATGATTGAGAAATTAAAAATGTCCATCGTTAGATTGGAAAATCAAGATTTGTATTATAAGGATAACCCCGAGGTAAAAAGTAGGATTTTTAGCAGTGGATAAAAAAACACTGATTTGCTCTTTTTTTGATGTAAATTTTAGATTCAATTAGTAGTGCCTCAGGGGAACGTTGAAACTTTATTAACAGGACACTTCAGCGATTTTGAAAACACAACACTTATTTCTAAAAATGCTATTGATGAAGTGAACACCGAAATCAAAGTAAACCATTTTACACTTAAATAGATTATAGATGATATTAGTAGATAATAATTATTTATAAAAAATGACAATTTTATTTTAGGCCTAATTACTTTATAACTATAAAATTTGATCTACATTGATATACCTTGATCTACCTTTATCAAACTTTTGTTCTACACTCAGTGAACTATAATTACTTTGTTAAACTAACTTTTGTCTGTAAAATAAATAATTACTATGGGTTCTTGTATAGTAAAACATTTTAATTATTACTAAATATATAATTTTTAGAAAATGGGCAATACTAAAATCGATGCTTTATCTAATTTACTGAAGTTCAAACGTAAATGTCGATTTTTAAAATGGGAACACGATATTCTAAAAAACCACAAAATTCCATTGTATAAATTTCGTTTCGATCTTATTACCTCAATGAAGATAACCGAAAATGTGTTAAACTACTTGAAGTTTAAGATGAAAGGCATAAATAACGCGGAACAAGCTGAACAAAACGTGGACAGAGAACTGGCCGCAATTAAATTTGTAAGATATTAACGAGACGACTTCAATAGATTTACATATTTTATAATAATTAATAGATATTGTGTAATGCATAATATTATATACCTACGTAAGTATAGATGTTAAGTATTATTATTGTAAAATGAATAATAACTCAAACGTAATGAGCGCAATATGAGCGTACAGCGCAATATTTTATTGTGAAAATGGTAAGCCCCATGATTTAATAGTGTAATACAAACATAAATTGTATATAATTGGTAGACATTAGATTGCGTTCACGTCAATCGTAATTTAATACGTACTTAGTACCTGTAGTTAGTAAACATATCAAATATATTAAATAGTGTATTAAATTGTTAAGAAAATATGAAACGCAACATTATATGTGTGATAAAATTCACCGTTTTTCAGACTTATACAAAGCAAAAAGAAAAGCTAAATGAAAAGTTAAACGAAATGTGCAAAACGGAAAAAGATATTAAAAATAAAAACAAAAAAGCCGACGAAGAGATAGACCAAATGACGAGTGAATTAACAGAGTTAAAGTGCCTCATAGATTATAGTTTAAACGACAAACTGATGCACCGCAGCAGTGAAAAGTAAATATACCGTATTTTTGGTTAAACCTTAATTATTATAACATTATATCATTAAAATACTATTCAAGAATGAATAGGTAAAAATGTGTATTTTTCCAACGAATACTTAAACATGTGTCAAACCAAAAACCATTTTCTCAAATCTAAATATTATTGTTCAGAGAGCAACAATAGTTACATCAAAATATTAAGGAATTAACATAATTAGTGTTTTGTTTTAGGATGAAAGATATAATGAAATTTACACAGATCAATACAAAAGTATTAGAATTAAACAAAGAAATTGATGCGTTGCAAATAGAATTGGAATTACTGCTCCTCAGAACTTTTCCAACTCTGTATACTAATTTTCCGAAAAACACCAGCATAACCAAATAATATGATTTTCAAGACATATAAATATATAACTATACTTATAGATCAAATATGACATTTAAATTTGTATAGATAAATAATCCACCCTAATCTGTATTGTATACTTAGATACATTTTAAAATAAACGTACAATAAACAAAAGATTTTTAGATGGTATTTTTTCAAATTTAGCTGGTATAGACAAAATACGTATACCTATATAATGTTACTTTAAATATTATATAATATTTATACATTTTAGACAGTAAAAAGAAGAGTGTCGTCATATGTATATTCAATATTGTATACTGTGCCTATAGGTTAAGTGTAAAAACTTGGTGCAAGATAATGTTGTACTCAATATTTTCATGATTTTAAAGAAATTATAAATATACGGTCACAATGTCATGACTTTGTGAAGCAAATGAGCAATATATGATTATATCTCAGTCTGTAATCGTACTTCATGCTACATGACATATTTTTTTTAAAAAAATTGTTCTTCTATAGTGAAGTGGATATAAGTACACTGTTCTACTAATACATAGTATTTTCTTCCTTTATTATAGTTATTTTCATTTTACACTTCATTAGCTGTATAATATCTTATTTTGTAATTTAGTAATAATTCACAATGTCTCCCCCACACCCCCCTACAACGCGGATAATATTCGAAAGAATCAAAATGTATTTTTCCAAAAATACAATATAACAAAACGCATTTAACATTTAAACAGCTTTCAAATGTTAAGTACTTATTAATTGTATTAGCATGTAAAGTTATCTTCGTCTTATTTAACTAAGGCCCGTTATGTGATGATTTTTCAATAAAAAGGAGAATTTTCGAAATTAATGGAAAAATAAATAAAAAGTCTATAGTGCCTATAATGCTTGTCAACCCTTGTCAACAAACACTGCAGAGAGGAGTTATTTCAGGATATACGAGAATCTTCATCACTAATCATCTTGTCTAAACTTCAAAACAATTATAATAAATTAAATAATATTTATTATTCTATCCCGCAAAAACGGATTCGCAGGCGTTTCTTTTAAATATAATATTTTTAAAACTATATAAGCACACTTGTGTTTTTCAACAAGCATTAAAAAAAAAAAAATTAAAAACACAGTCTGCGGTGCTCACGTTTCAATAAAACCACCACACCAATATAGTATCAAGTATTAAAAAACACCGACATGATATTCATAAAAGCACTTGAACCCAACACGAGTTCAGCATTATATGCGACAACTCAATTGCCATGCAGACCCAAAAGTTATATATATATAGATACTAAACCAATTCGAATATAAAATATAACAACTTATATTGAACGACAAATTTAAAATTTTTATATACGTACTGGAATAATTACAAAATAACATCCTTAAATGAAATACTAATAGTTATTATTACTATTGTCGTTGAAAATTAAAATTGAAAATCTTTATTAATTATAATAATTGAACGTAGTATAAAAAACTTAAGCCACCAATAATAAAGAATAAAGATACTATTGAATCTAGAGATGATCATGAGACATCATAGATAGTTTTTGTGATAATAGCTAGCTTACAGTGATGATAGTTATTTGTTTTAATTGTATAGTCATTACTAAATATTAATTGTTCATTTATTATTTATCTATTTATTTTTATTATTAGTTATTATTTTTTTATTTTTTATTATTTTAACCATTATTTGTTATAACAGAGTGTTGTCAACTAATAAAAATGATAAAATAATACTAAAATTATGGTTGAAAGAGTTTTAAATGATCGAATTTATTGCCATACATTTAAGTCGTGTGTCCGAGGTGCAGTGTTAAGAATAGATAACGAAACTTTCATCTTGATAAGATACAGATAATTTTACATAAATGCATATATGGATACAGTCGATGCAGATAAAGATAAATACATTTCACATTTATCTAGATTAGATTAATATAATCTAACATTTATCTAGGTAATATTATGAAAGATAAAACAAATTTTGATTTTATTTAAATGACAAATTTACTTTTTTACCTACGTGAGAATAGAGTAACTAACAGTTAATTGGTCCATACAGTAATATGGTAATAGTATGTACTAATTGGATAGTGTTCAGATAAAACAATTTTAGTAAAAATAAAAAAATATTATTCATGAAAGATGAATATGTTTTGAATAGAATGTATTTAGATAAGTAAATGTGTCATCCATGATAACCAATAGATAAATGTCACAATGATGAAAATTGGCGAATTCACTATCCCGTATGCCATAGTTTTCTAAACGTTTGGGGTAAAACACACTTTATTGAAACATAATATATTCCTAACAACTATACATACGAATAGAATGTAATATTTTTTTTTTAATTGAAATAACTGTCGATGTTCAAATGACAAATAAAAAATCTTCATCTGGACACTATGAAATATACGATAAGTTTTGAATTGTAGATGATTATTGGTCCAAAATCGGTTATGGTGTGCCACCTTTGAATATGTCTCTAGCAGTGTCGGCCTGGTACCTTAAGGGCCCCGGATGCATTTCTTCAGAAGGGCCCCCAAAAAATGTTTTTTCATAAAATTATTAAAAATGTACTTATAAGTAGTGTAAAATATTATAAATTTTTAAAGGTACCATATACCTATAAAATTAAGCATCCATTAAGATTAAGTTAAGATTTAAGTTAGATTAATAATTTATTATTCTAAAAAATTTTTTACATATTGCATAATATAAATAATACCTTCTCACATGAACTTAATATTTTTTTTAATGTGATTCAAATTCAAAATTAATTGTGCATTTGATTTTCTTTGTATCAGTAATTTTTTTAGTTCACTAGATGAGTTAGCAATCGTATCAATCAACTCATCTGAGTCAATCAAAATATCCTTTTCAATGGACATTAGCATTAATGGTACATTGGTTATTCCGTCTGGAGGTCGAAAACTATCTACTATTTATGATAACAATAATCACTCACACAGATAACAAAAGTTATCACATAAATACATAATAATATTATTAATAATAATATTCATTAACCAATATTTATATTTCTGAGTACGATCGGGGGTGGGGGCCCCCCAACACAAATACGGCCGAGGGCCCCGGACGCGTTTGCGGCCCAGCGGCCATGGCCAGGCCGACACTGGTCTCTACCCACTGTGCAATATTCGGTCACATAAACGTTTCAGAGACGTTTCAAATTAACTTGTAACATCGCGTTTATTGTTACTTTTACGTTGCGCCGATGTTGTGGTAACTGCCGTTGTCCAAATTAGATGACGTTTCATATGAGTTGTATTGACGTTTACATTTCATATCTTGTAACATCGTATCAACATCCCTGAGATGTCATAAATAAAACGTTCTAGAAGCATCTATTTTACATTTAGTAGATGTTACATAGATGTTATCAATACGAGATCGATTGTAGTAAAACGAGAAAAAAGTGTAAAAATAATCAGTCCGATCATGGTATCGAACCCTAAGCACGAAACATCATTATTTAACCTACCTAACTGGGAAACGCCTTATCCTACCTAACTATATGACTGCCTATTGGAATTAATGTGTATATAGGCGTATATGTTGCATTCATAAAACATTGTATGCACATCGATCGTCAGTTCGCGGACGGTACGGTAAATAATTAAAGACGTCACGACGATAACGGTTGACTTCGATACGGTTTGTCATTTGAAAAGCCATAATACCGAAAATTGAAATACCCAAGTATCGAAGTCTGAATTGTTGAATTGTTTGTATAGAGTGGGTATTGGGTACCACCCATATATCTATATATTATATACAAGCACGCAGTGACGGTGGTGATGTGTGAATCCGTGTGCGGTATCTATATACGGTACGTTATAATATATTGAAACACTGCAAAAGGTTAAACTTTGTTCGGGTAAACATTGACGAATTCCGGAGATGGATATCGCAAGCTCAGCGGTTTCCCTCGGAGCTGTTCAATAGTTTAGGTAACACTCGGCAGACTGCAAGCGCATGCGCCGTGTGAGACTATAATGTTCGGCGCGAGACAAATAATAATAATAATAATATTATATTATAATGTATTATGAATTATGGCGACCACCATAATGTGTGCCGTGACGGCCAATAGTTGACATAACACACAACCATTTCATGGTTTGAGGATTTTTTTTTATACAATTACACCAACAGAATAGAATACCTACTATTATTAAATTAATATTACCTAATTTCAGATTCTGAGCGGAGCGGCGATGAATGTATTGATTCTACAATGATATTGTGTGTATTTTATTTTTATTTTTTTTTCATTTTTGTGTGTGCCATCACGGTTTGGGGCAGTAAAAGTGCCTCGACTTTCTCCGACAGCAACTTTTCCGATAGGAAAGTGAATCTAGTTGGTGCGTTCGGGAGGTCAAAATTATAAATTCTGAATAGTTTTCAAAAGCGACTGGAAAAACAATCAAAATATTAAGGAAAACCGGGAATTTTTACGCAAAAGCGGTTTTCCAAAAAATGGATTTCGGTTTTTAGTGTAACTCAAACAAAAATGAAGGTAGATACATGAAATTATCACTAAATGTTTGAGAAAGCATTTTCTATACACCATAAAATTTTACAAAATATTTTGATTTGTGTTGAATTATTTAGGTATAGGCATATGCAATTTTCGATTATTATTTGTTTTTTTAAACTAAAGTCGATAAAAAATTTTTGCCCGGTCAAAAAACTTGTAAATGTAATACAATGTTCCTTGTAAGTTTTTGATAATGGAAATTAAAAAAAAAGTTGAACGTAAATACACAATATTTTTTTTTTGAGCGTTTAAACTAAGAATTTTGACAAAATTCTTAAAAATTAGCGAATTATTTTGAGTGAGAAATTCATAGAAATTTTTCTTTTTGTGAACAAGACTCCTTATAAGTTTGTCTACCTTTATCAAAAAAAAAAAAAATTTCCACCGAAAAGTCAAATTAAATTTTTATGAGCGTTTGAAGTTGAAAGTTTTACAATATTGGATATTCACTTGATTTTTTTTATCAGGTTAATAGGCTTAACTTCTGAGGTTATTAGCATTTAGCCTGTAATAATTGCAAAGCATTTGACTTAAAAATGTGGGAAAACTCTATGGTTAACACAACA